GTGTGTGTGTGGTGTGTGTGTGTGTGGGTGTGGTGTGTTGTGTGTGTGTGGTGTGTGTGGTGTGTGTGTGTGGTGTGTGTGTGTGTGTTGTGTGTGGTGGGTGTGTGGTGTGGTGTGTGTGTGGTGTGTGTGTGGTGTTGTGGTGTGTGTGGTGTTGTGTGTGGTGTGGTGGTGGTGTGTGGTGTGTTGTGTGGTGGTGTGTGTGTGGTGTGTGGTGGTGTGTGTGGTGTGTGGTGTGGTGTGGTGTGGTGTGTGGTGGTGTGTGTGGTTGGTGTGTGGTGTGTGGTGTGTGTGTGTGTGTGTGTGTGGGGGTGTGTGTGGTGTGTGGTGGTGTGTGTGTGTGTGTGTGTGTGTGTGTGTGGTGTGTGTGGGTGGGGTGTGTGTGTGTGTGTGTGTGTGTGTGTGTGTGTGTGTGTGTGTGTGTGTGTATATATATATCAATAACACTGCGACTAGCCAAGGACTCGAACCCATGATGTTTTGGCCCGCCTCATGGTGAGCGAAAATCACATGACGCTCTAACCCACAGGACCACCAAATCCTACAAGAACCAAGCACCCAGCCAAGCTAGGTGTGTTACCCTTCGTCCGAGGACATACGGTGGTGTGGGTGCCTCTGAGCTAATTTCATTCTACTCCGTTTGGTGTACAAGCCCAACAAGCAGTCCTTGGCTAATCGCACTGTTGTTACTGATCAATACCACTTATTCGTGATTGCAATATATATTTAGTTGTAGCTACAGTTAGAGTAAGAGGTAGATGGGACAAAAGGAAAATGGCAACAACAAGTAAGAGAGAGGTGAAAGTGTATAAACTAAGCGATAAGGAAGTTAGGGCAAGATATAAGCAACTATTGGCAGAAAGGTGGGCTAGTGCAAGTATGAGTAGTAGGGATGATGGGTTGAAGAAGGTTGGAATAGTTTTAAAAATGCAGTATTAGAATGTGAGGCAGAAGTTTGTGGCTATAGGAGGGTGGGTGCAAGAGGAAAGAGGAGTAATCTGTTGGAATGATGAAGTAAAGGGTATGATAATAGAGGAAAAGGTAGCTTATGAGAGGTTTTAACAAAGCAGAAGTGTTATAAGAGGAGCAGAGTATATGCAGAGTATAGGAAAGGTGAAGAGTGGTGAGAGAGTGGGAGAGGCACAGTCAAGAAATTTTGATGACTAAGAAAAAAATTTGGAGTGAGTTAAACAAGTTCAGAAAGCCTAGGGAACAAATTGATTTGTCAGTTAAAAACAGAGTAGGGAAGTTAGTAGATGGGGAGCTGAAGGTATTGGTAGATGGCAGGAACATTTAGAGGAACTTTTAAATGTCGATGAAGAAAGGGAGGCAGTAATTTCATGCACTGGCCAGGGAGGTATAACATCTTTTAGGAGTGAAGACCAGGATGCGAGTGTGGGGGAGGTGCGTGAGGCATTACGTAGAATGACAGGGGGTTAAGCAGCTGTAACTGACAGGATCATGACAGAAATGTTAAAAGCAAGGGTGGATATAGTGTTGGAGTGGTTGGTATTTTTGTTTAATAAATGTATGAAAGAGGGAAAGGTACCTAGTAATTGGCAGAGAGTATGTATAGTTCCTTTATATAAAGGGAAGGGGGGACAAAAGAGATTGTAAAAATTATAGGGGAATGAATTTACTGGGTATACCAGGAAAAGTGTACGGTAGGGTTATTATTGAAAGAATTAGAGGTAAGACAGAATGTAGGATTTCGGATGAGCAAGGAGGCTTTAGAGTGGGTAGGGGATGTGTAGATCAAGTGTTTACATTGAAGAATATATATGTGAACGGTATTTAGATAAAGGTAGGGAAGTTTTCACTGCATTTATGGATTTAGAAAAGGCATATGATAGAGTGGATAGGAGAGCAATGTGGCAGATGTTGCAAAAAGTACATGTATATGGAATAGATAGTAAGTTACTAAATGCTGTAAAGAGATTTTATGAGGATAATGAGGCTCAGGTTAGGGTGTGTAGAAGAGAGGGAGATTACTTCCCGGTAAATGTAGGTTTAGACAGGGATGTGTAATGTCACCATGGTTGTTTAATAGATGGGGTTGTAAAAGAAGTAAATGCTAGGGTGTTGGGAAGAGGGGTGGGATTAACTTATGGAGAATCAAATACAAAATGGGCGTTGACAGTTACTTTTTACTGATGATACTGTGCTTATGGGAGATTCTAAAGAAAAGTTGCAAAGGTTAGTGGACAAGTTTGGGAGGGTGTGTAAAGGTAGAAAGTTAAAAGTGAACATAGATAAGAGTGAGGTGATGAGGATATCAAACAATTTAGATAAAGAAAAATTGGATATCACACTGGAGAGAGGGAGTATGGAAGAAGTCAATGTTTTCAGATATTTGGGAGTTGACGTGTCAGTGGATGCATTTATGAATGATGAGGTTAACCATAGAATTGATGAAGGAAAAAAGGTGAGTGGCGAGTTGAGGTATATGTGGAAACAAAAAAACTTTATCTATGGAGGCAAAAAATTGAATGTATGAAAGTATAGTGGTACCAACTCTCTTATATGGGTGTGAAGCTTGGCTTGTAAATGCTGCAGCGAGGAGGCAGTTGAGATGTCCTGTTTAAGGGCAGTGTGTGGTGTAAGTATCATGCAGAAAATTCGGAGTGTGGAAATTAGGAGAAGGTGGAGAGTTAATAAAAGTATTGGTCAGAGGGCTGAAGAAGGGTCATTGAGGTGGTTTGAGAGAAAATGGATCAAAGTAGAATGACATGGAGAGCATATAAATCTGTAGAAGGAAGGCGGGGTAGGGGTTATCCTCGAAAAGGTTGGAGGGAGGGGGGTAAAGGAGGTTTTGTGGGCGAGAGGCTTGGACATCCAGCAAGCGTTCGTGAGCGTGTTAGATAGGAGTGAATGGAGACAAATGGTTTTTGGGACATGACAAGCTGTTGGAGTGTGAGGCAGGGTAATATTTAGTGAAGGGATTCAGGGAAACGGGTTATTTTTATATAGCCGGACTTGAGTACTGGAAATGGGAAGTACAATGCCTGCACTTTAAAGGAAGGGTTTGGGATATTGGCAGTTTTGAGGAATATGTTATATATCTTCATATATGCTTCTAAACTTGTATCTGGGTGCCTCTGCAAAAACAGTTATTATGTATGAGTGAGGTGAAAGTGTTGAATGATGAAAGTATTTTTTGAGGGGGGATTTTCTTTCTTTTTGGGTCACCCTGCCTTGGTGGGAGATGGCCAACTTGTTGGGAAAAAAAATACACACACACACACGTTTTGCATATACATGTAGTATATATATATACCTTATTCAAGCATAAAAGGAAGATAACAGATACCAATACAAATATTATATACATAAAAATGCTTTTATCAATGCAATGCTGGGAGGGAGAGAGGGTTAAGAGTCAATTAATGAGAGAAGAGGTAACAAAACCCAGATTTTAGTCTAGCTTGAGGCTGTCTGTGCAGTCACACGTCCATCTAGTCAGACAACTCGTCTTCATGGCCGAGTGCATGGACGAGGCAAGTTTAGATTGTATTTCATTAGCACATCCCTCTGTCCGCCACCCAGTACTACACTGAGTTCTCTATATTCAACCTCACAATCACTAATACTGCTATCATATGTTCAGTGAATGGTATGGAAAAAATATTGTAACCTTTGAGTAAACTTAAAAATTGGACCGACTCACTTTTGTAAACAAAGTAACAAAATTCAGTTTTGAGAATTAAAAATAAATTTCTAACATCGTAAATGCTTTGTACTAATTTTCATTCTACAAATTTTGTTTTAAAATCATAAAACACTTTACACTGCTCTGTATTCATTACAATTTTTCTTTTTTAAAACTCTCGATATTCGTTAAAAAAAAAAAAAAACTCATCACAAATTATTTTAGACAAATACCAATCAAAAAGGATGCAACAAGTGCAATAAGTATCAAAGCATAAAGAAACCAAGACTCTTCAACACACTCTTCATACAAGGTGAATCATCAACAGTTCCTCAGCTGCCTTCAAAAGGACTCTTGAAAAGCCAGGCTATGGTGCATACACTGGACTGTGTGGCTAGTTAGCACCAAAAACCTAGTTAATCAGGAGGCCTGCTTGGTCACAGACCAGCCTGTGGAGACAGACCCCCAAATCATCTTCAGGTACTCCACATTTTTTGAAGAAAATTGGCACTTAAAAAAAAAAAAAAAAATAATAATAGTGCATAGTGACCTATATAAATTCCACAACCCAGCTCTGAGGGGAACATTATGAAAACATGAAAAACATTAAATACTTTCTATGATATATTAACTTGCATTAGTGTGGAACTGGAATAGTATGTAAATACTGACAGAGTGGAATAGATGACACTTTAATGGATTAGTCTTCCATGGAAGCACATTATGAGAGAGAACTATTTTAACCCATAAACGGTCCAAATAGATCGACGTTCATATCGGTAGTGCTCCAAAAGTAGATCTATGTTTTTTTTTACATATTTTCAAATATATATAAAAAAAAATGTAGATAAAAGTTTTTTTACACATTTTCACATTTCAAATGTTGAAAAAACGTATATATACGTTTGGACCATTTAAGGGTTAAACTAGCATTTTCCTCTGCATAATGAGACTTCAATTTTTTTACCAAAATGCTGCTTCTATCATTCAAATGCTTACTCCCTAAGTTTACTTTAATTGTCTATTGTCATTTTTAATACATTCACCAAAAAAGCTGAAAATTCATATGGGTCACATTGCTCTATGTTGGGGGTGCTGATATCAGTGGGGAAAAAAAGTATGAAGGATGGGCTCCTATGTTCAAAACTACCTGCTTAACTAGTTCATATGAACTATCCTGAGCCTGATTTGGTGAACAATTCTGAACATTACCTATTTAATGAGGTGAATTTAACAAGTGTGATGAAAAGCATGACAATATAAAGTTGGTTTAGAAAGACACGTAAGCAAACACTATAACATATTTATTAGAAAACGTTTCGGTCCTGGGACCTTGATCAAGGTCCCAGGACCGAAACGTTTTCTAATAAATATGTTATAGTGTTTGCTTACGTGTCTTTCTAAACCAACTTGTCGGTATTTATTACCAAGGTTTATACCACAATATAAAGTAAATAGCAATCATACCCAGCTAGTAATGTTAGATACAGGTGGTGCTTGACTCACAACGGGGTTACGCTCTGACAAACCCATTGTAAGTCAAAAATATCATAAATCTGACATGAATATATGCTAAATAAGTAAATAAATAACTGCTGTCACTAAACAAGTAAATAAACAATTACTGTAATTGCTTTTGTGCCATTGTGGAGTTGAAATATATGTAGAACCATCATACATCAAGGAGCACCTGTACTAGTAATACTGCCTACCAAACTATGAATGTATCTGGATAACACTGCTTAAGAACAAGCTTTATATATACAGCCTCTCCTCACTTAGTGACGCGCTCGTTTACTGACGTCTCACTTACAACGGGTTCCCTGACCAGCATGCATACCTAAATGTATATTAGAGCTGATTTACTCTATCCTGATTACTACAATATAAAGTACACTACTGTATAAACATTTAAAAATATACCAGAAATGTTATAAATGGTGCAAAGGCGACATTAAAGCAATATCAAAGATAGTTGACACAAACCCACTACCATTATAGTATGCTCCTCACTTAGCGACGGATTCGTTTACTGACGTGGTCTTAAGAATGGAACTCCGTCGTTAAGTGAGGAGAGGCTGTACATACACACACACATACAGTGGACCCCCGGTATTCGACATTAATCCGTTCCTGAGAGCTCATCAAATACCGAAAATATCAAAAGGCAAATAAATTTTCCCCATAAGAAATAATGGAAATCAAATTAATCCGTGCAAGACACCCAAAAGTATGAAAAAAAATATTTTACCACATGAAATATTAAGTTTAATGCATTAGAATAATTACAATAACAATAGAATAATTGACACTTACCTTTAATGAAGATCTGGTGATGATTGATGGGATGGGAGGGGAGAGTGTGGATGATGTTAGTGTTTAGAAGGGGAATCCCCTTCCATTAGGACTTGAGGTAGCAAGTCCTTTTCTGGGGTTACTTCCCTTCTTTTAATGCCACTAGGACCAGCTTGAGAGTCACTGGACCTCTGTCGCACAACAAATCTGTCCATAGAGCTCTGTACCTCCCGTTCCTTTACAATTTGTCTAAAATGGGCCTCAACATTGTCATTGTAATAGTCACCAGCACGGTTTGCAATAGCTGTGTTAGGGTGATTTTCATCCATAAAGATTTGCAGTTCAACCCACTGTGCACACATTTCCTTAATTTTTGAAGTAGGCACAATGGACAATGGATTCCGCAACTGGCATAGGCTTCTCAGGGTTAGCCCCAAACTCTTCAAAATCTTTCTTAATTTCCATACTAATTCTCACCCTTTTTACCACAGGGTTGGCACTAGAAGCTTTCTTGGGGCCGATGGTGACTTATTTTGCAGAAACAAGCACCAAAAACAGTGATAATATGGAATGTACCGCATGTATCCTTAGATGTGCGCACACTGGCTGGCTTGTAAACACTGGCACACACGGGGCAGTTCAGGCCACACGTGGACACGTCTCGTACGAATCGCATCAAATACAGGGTTTTCGATCAGATACCGAGGCGAAATTTTTGTGTTAAAATGCATCGAATACCGGATTTATCGAATACCGATGCCATCGAATACCGGGGGTCCACTGTATATGCAATAATCACAAACAAGTGATACAAAATGCAAAACAATCTTGAGAGGAGTTGAATGACAGCTCTAGGCCTTTCGTGTTGCAATCAACACATCATCTATTAAAAAAACTCTAGGGCAACAAGTGAACACTGTTATGCAACTCCACTTCTTACTTTGAACTTTTATGTGATATCCATCAAACACACATTTTATGTTCCTCAAGAGACTTGAATAAAGTTCCAGTTTAAAAAAAAAACATTTAGTAAAACTTAAGTACTCAAATGGTTAAAGAAATTAATGTATAGCATCCCAGATTTACAGAAATTCTCCTTAAATATAATCCATTGACCTTGATGACACTGTATTACACACATGACCCTGAAAAGGAAATTATTTTGGATTAATTTTTTTTAATGAAATATAAGTACTGTCCAAAAAAAAAAAAAAAAAAAAAAAAAAGTGCATCAATGTATGTTTTTCAACAAATTGACTATCTACCAGCGAGGAAGGGTGACCCCCCCCCCCCAAAAAAAAAAAAAACTCATTATCACTCACCCCATCATGATGAAAGTATTTTCTTTTGGGGGATTTTCTTTCTTTTTGGGTCACCCTGCCTCGGTGGGAGAATGCCGACTTGTTAAAAAAAAAAAATATATATATATATATCTTCTTTCTTTCAACACACTGGCCGTATCCCACCGAGGCGGGGTGGCCCAAAAGTTAAAACGAAAGTTTCTCCTTTTACATCTAGTAATATATACAGGAGAAGGGGTTACCAGCCCCCTGATCCCGGCATTTTAGTCGCCTCTTACAACACGCATGGCTTACGGAGGAAGAATTCTGTTCCACTTCCCCATGGAGATAAGAGGAAATAAACAAGAACAAGAACTAGAAAGAAAATAGCAAAAAACCCAAAGGGGTGTGTATATATATGCTTGTACATGTATGTGTAGTGTGACCTAAGTGTAAGTAGAAGTAGCAAGACGTACCTGAAACCTTGCATGTTCATGAGACGGAAAAATGGACACCAGCAATCCTACCATCATGTAAAACAATTACAGGCTTTCGTTTTACACTCGCTTGGCAGGACGGTAGTACCTCCCTGGGTGGTTGCTGTCTACCAGCCTACTACCTAGAAAAAAAAAAATATATTTTTTTTTTCAACAAACCGGCCGTATCCCACCAAGGCAGGGTGGCCCCCCCCCCCAAAAAAAAACGAAAGTTTCTCTTTTTAAATTTAGTAATTTATACGGGAGAAGGGGTTACTAGCCCCTTGCTCCCGGCATTTTAGTCGCCTCTTACAACACGCATGGCTTACGGAGGAAGAATTCTGTTCCACTTCCCCATGGAGATGAGAGGAAATAAACAACAAGAACTAGAAAGAAAATAGAAGAAAACCCAGAGGGATGTGTATACATACATATATATGCTTGTACATGCATGTGCAGTGTGACCTAAGTGTAAGTAGAAGTAGCAAGACGTACCTGAAACCTTGCATGTTCATGAGACGGAAAAATGGACACCAGCAATCCTACCATCATGTAAAACAATTACAGGCTTTCGTTTTACACTCACTTGGCAGGACGGTAGTACCTCCCTGGGTGGTTGCTGTCTACCAGCCTACTACCTAGAAAAAAATATACATATACATATATATGTATTTTTTAACACACTGGCCATTTCCCACCAAGGCAGGGTGACCCAAAAAAGAAAATCTTTCACCATCATTCACACTACTGCCTTTGCAGAGGCATACAGATGTGACAGATTAGAAGTCACTCTAAACAGCAAATATCCCAAACTCCCCTTTAGAGTGCAGGCATTGTACTTCCCACCTCCATGACTCAAGTCCAGCTAACTGGTTTTCCTGAATTCCTTCACAAAATACTACCTTGCTCACACTCCAACAGCTCGTCATGTCCAAAAATTCATTCATCTCCACTCCTAACACACTCACACATGCCTGCCGTTCGTCCAAGCCCCTTGCACACAAAACCATTACTTCCCCCTCCATCCTATCCTAGGATGACCCCTACCCCTCCACTATAGATTTATACACCTAAGTCATCCTATTTTTCTCCATCCTCTCTAAATGACCAATCCACCTCAACAACCCCTCCTCACCCCTCTGAATATTACTTTTAGTAACTCCACACCTCCTGCTATTTTCCACACTATGAATTCTCTGCATAATATTTACACCACAAATTGCCTTTAGACACGACATCTGCCTTCAGCCTCCCTCTTGCTTAAACATTCACAACCCACAACCCGTGCTTCACACCCATCTAAGAGTGTTAGTACCACTATATTGTAATACATTCCCTTCTTTGCATCCATGGATAATGTTCTTTGTCTCCACAGATACTTCAATGCACCACCTACCTTCCTTTCATCAATTCAATGGTTTACCTCATCCTTCATAAACTCATCCACCAACATGTCCACTCCCAAACATGTAAACACATCTGCCACACAGCTCCCCTATCCACCCTATCATATGCCTTTTCTAAATCTACAAAAGCAACAAAAAATTATCTAAATATTGTTCACTCATATGTAACCACTTGGTATACACATCCTCTACCCATTCTAAAGCCTCCTTTTTCATCTGCAATCCTACTGTCAGTCTTACCCCAGATACAGTATTTAATAATAATATATAATGTACAGGGAGCAAGGGGCTAGTAATCCTTTCTCCTTTCTCCTGTATACATACTAAATTAAAAAAGAAAAACTTTTGTTTTTCTTGTTAGGTCACCCTGTCTTGGTGGGATACAGCCAGATTGTTGGAAAAAAAAGTACAGTAATATAATAAAAAAGATATTACTTACTGTTCTTTCAGCATGTGATCCTAATCTTTTAACCGATCTATGTTTACCAAACATCTTCATCAGTTTTAAGATGGTGGACGTTCTCATATGTACATCATACAAGGTTTTGGCATAACTGTAAAGATAAAAATAAATTGTCAATAATCAGTGGTGTATAAAATACATCTATAAAGTTTTATTCTTGCTGGGAATATTTCTTGAGCAGGGTGACTGCATAAAAATCCACTAAAGCTTTTCAGATATATTTATTTTACCGCATCGTCTATCTCCCACTAAGGTACAGTAGCCCAAAGAAGCATATGCATTCATCACTATTCATTCAATAGTTGTCTAGCCAAAAGTGGAAGTACATCAATATTCAAAGGACCATCTAAACTGTAACATCCCCCACCCATCCTTCAGAGTGCAGGCACCAAATTCTCCACATCCAGAATTAGTCTGGCTAATAAGATTTCAGACATGATATCCATTTATTAAATTGAATGAAGGATGCAAAAATGGACTCAAAATGATTCTGAAAGACATACCAGTTGGCAGATATGTAGACCAAGTATTTACACTGAAGCATATAAATGAACAATAATGAGATAAAGATAAGCAAGATTTTGTTATATTCATGGATTTAGAAAAGGCATATAATGGGGTGGATGGGGAAACAATGTGACAGATGCTGCAAGTGTATGAACAGGTGGGAGGTTACTGAAAGCACTTAAGTCTTTATGACGATAGTGAGGCTCAGGTTAGGGTATGTAGGAGGGAGATTATTTTCCAGAAATAGAAAAATCTTTCTTCTTAAACAACAAACCACTCATGTCCCACTGAAGCAGGGTAGCCAAAAAAAGTAAACAAAAGTTTCTCTTTTTAAATTTAGTAACGTATACAGTTGAAGGGGTTACCAGCGCCTTGCTCCCGGCATTTTAGTCGCCTCTTACTACATGAATGGCTTACAGAGAAAGAATTCTGTTGCACTTTTCCATGGAGATAAGAGGAAATAAACAAGAACTAGTTAGAAAATAGAAGAAAACCCTGAGGGGTGTATATATATAATGCTTGTAGTATATGCATGTGTAGTGTGATAGTATGGTACAGTACATACTATCACTATCTTGCTAAGCTTAGTTCCTGTACAAAAGTGCCATACTACAGAGAACACAAGGTACTCCTTAATCCTCTAGTGTCAAAAATTTACCCACAGGTAAAAATGAAACTAACTTTCTGGTGGACTCTATACCATGCTTCTTCGCATAAGCTGCAAGGAGGCGTTTATCTTGTAAACCCACGGGGTAGGACTTCAGTGGGTACTTCCGGTTCTGGAAATTAACATCAAAATTATTACTGTATGGAACATATTTTAAAAGTAGAATGAAACTGTGTGGGTTATAAACATGGGAAATAAAAAAATTACTAAAATTAATCAAGTGTATGAAGAGACTATCCATGCCATTCTAGAACACAAATAAGAACACCATTATACAGTGGACCCCCGCATAACGATCACCTCCGAATGCGACCAATTATGTAAGTGTATTTATGTAAGTGCGTTTGTACGTGTATGTTTGGGGGTCTGAAATGGACTAATCTACTTCACAATATTCCTTATGGGAACAAATTCGGTCAGTACTGGCACCTGAACATACTTCTGGAGTGAAAAAATATCGTTAACCGGGGGTCCACTGTATTGAATTTCCCTTGGAAAAAAAAAAAAAAAATTAGCCAAATAAGGCACAATCATTGCAGAAAGCAGGATGTGTGAGCAATATTCAACAAAGTAAACTTATGACAATTTAGAAGTTATACCAGAGTGCTTGGCTTGGGTGACAGTATCTGAAAATTACCTAACTCCCTTAATCACTATCTGCAATTAGCAACGAGCTGTGCATGCACCACTAACACCTGGTGGACAAAAGGAGGCTAACGGCATAAGACATAAGTGAGAGGCAAAGGCTATTCTGGACTTATGGAACCTTTTTACAATTACAGACCCCCAATGGACTGCCCAATATGTTCCCATACTCCTTTCGCCATTGTCGAAACCATCACCAGTCCTACTAGGTACAAGTATGACTTCAAAAGATGTCGATTGCTTACCTGGTTACCTTGAGGTTATTCCGAGGATCAACGCCCCCGCGGCCCAGTCCATGACCAGGCCTCCCGGTGGATCAGGGCCTGATCAACCAGGCTGTTACTGCTGGCCGCACGCAGTCCAACGTACGAGCCACAGCCCGGCTGATCCGGCACTGACTTTAGGTATCTGTCCAGCTCTCTCTTGAAGGCAGCCAGGGGTTTATTGGTAATTTCCCTAATGCTTGATGGGAGGCTGTTGAACAGTCTTGGGCCCCGGACACTTATGGTGTTTTCTCTTAGTGTACCAATGGCGCCCCTACTTTTAATTGGGGGTATTTTGCATCGCCTGCCCAGTCTTTTACCTTCGTAGGGAGTGATTTCTGTGTGCAGATTCGCGACCATTCCTTCCAGGATTTTCCAAGTGTAGATTATGATATCTCTCTCTCTCTCCTGCGTTCCAACGAGTACAAGTCAAGTGCTTCCAAGCATTCCCAGTAGTTAAGGTGCTTGACAGAACTTATATGTGCAGTAAAGGATCTCTGTACACTCTCTAGATCTGCAATTTCACCTGCTTTGAATGGAGATGTTAATGTACAGCAGTATTCCGGCCTAGAGAGAACAAGTAATTTGAAAGGATCATTACCAGCTTGGCATCTCTAGTTTTGAACGTTCTCATTATCCATCCTATCATTTTCTATGCACTTGTGATCGTGGCACTGTTGTGATCCTTGAAAGTGAGATCCTCAGACATTACTACTCCCAGGTCCCTTACATTATTTTTCCGCTCTATTGTATGGCCAGAGTTTGTAGTATACTCTGTTCTAGTTATTATCTCCTCCAGTTTTCCATAACGGAGTAGTTGGAATTTGTCCTCACTGAACATCACATTGTTTTCCGTTGCCCACTGGAAAACTTTGTTTATATCTTCTTGGAGGTTAACCGCGTCCTCAGCAGATGACAGCCTCATGCAGATCCTAGTATCATCCGCAAAGGATGATACGGTGCTGTGATGTATATCTCTGTCTATGTCTGATATGAAGATGAGGAATAAGATGGGGGCGAGTACTGTGCCTTGTGGAACAGAGCTCTTCACTATGGCAGCCTCCGATTTAACTCTGCTGACCACTACTCTTTGTGTTTGATTTGTTAGGAAGTTGAAGATCCATCTCCCCACTTTCCCAGTTATTCCTTTAGCACGTATTTTGTGCACTATTATGCCATGATTGCATTTGTCAAACGCTTTTGCAAAGTCTGTGTATATTACATCTGCATTCTGATTTTCTTCCAGTGCATCCAAGGCCATATCATAGTGATCCGGTAGTTGTGAGAGGCAGGAGCAATCTGCCCTAAACCCATGTTGCCCTGGATTGTGCAGATTTTAGGAATCCAGGTGATTTGCAATCCTGCTTCTTAGCACTCTTTCAAAGATTTTTATTATGTGGGACGTCAGAGATATTGGTCTAAAGTTCTTAGCTAATGCTTTGCTGCCACCTTTATGGAGTGGGGCTATATCCGCTGTTTTAAGTGACTAGAATTTCACCTATGTCCAAGCTCCTCCTCCATAGTGTACTTAGGGCACGCGAGAGGGGTTTCTTGCAGTTCTTAATGAATACAGAGTTCCACGAGTCTGGGCCCGGGGCTGAGTGCACAGGCATGTTGTCAATGGCTTTTTCGAAGTCTATCGGAGTTAGGGTAATGTCGGAAATCTGGCATACATTTATGGAGTTATGAGGCTCATTCATGTAGAAATCATTTGGGTCGTTGATCCTCAGACTGATTAGTGGCTCACTAGAAACAGAACAGCTGATAGTTTATTTTAACCTAACAATTTTTTTTTTGTTCAGAGACTAAGTCCCATACCCTTACTATTTGCTTCCCATACCACAGGTTAAGAACCCCTGCTCTAAGGCATAGAAGTATTATGCAATAATTCTTCTTCTTTCAACAAATCGGCTAAATCCCACTGAAGCAGGGTGGCCCAAAAACAAAAACAAGTTTCTCTGAAGGAGAGGGTGTTAATGTTGCAGTTTTATAACTGGTGTGAGCATGCCTCTGGCAAGACAGTGATGGAGTGAATGATGATGAAAGTTTTTCTTTTTTGGGCCACCCTACCTTGGTGGCAAGTGGCTGATGTGTTAATAAATAAAAAATAATATACATACACAGGAGAAGGGGTTACTAGCCCCTTGCTCCCGGCATTTTAGTCGTCTCTTACGACACGCATGACTTACGGAGGAAGAATTCTGTTCCACTTCCCCCATGGAGAATTATTCTTCTTTAAAACTTAACATAGTACCTACCTGACTGACAGAGAATTTTTTCTTTCTTCCTCGCCGTTTCTTTGGTGATTCATCAGACATCTGCTGTGAAATAAACTCTACATTTTTTCTACTTTTCTCATTTGCACTTTTTCTATTTTCCTCCTGTACACTTTTTCTACTTTTCTCTTCTACGCTTTTTCTACTTTTCTCTTCTACGCTTTTTCTACTTTTCTCTTCTATTCTTTTTCTACTTTCCTCTTCTACATAGTTTCTTTCCTCTTCTACATCTTTTCTACTTTCCTCTATACTTTTTGTCCTTTCCTCTTCTACATTTTCTCTATTCTCTTCTGTGTTTTCTTCATTATTTGCAACAGATACATCAAGATTAGAAGCCCTGTGAAAAAACAAACAATTCCACGACTTAAAATAATTCCACTTAACTGAATTGAAACTAAGAAATAAAATAAATATCATATTATTGATCAACTGAAGAAGCATCACTATTTCATAACATTTTAATCAATCAGACGAGGTGAACACACATTGGAGAATGCCCAAATGAGCCATACACACATTTGGGGAAAAAAATGAATAAGCCAAGAACAGCGAAATGAAATTGAAGAGGTTGACTCCATACACAGATTCAAAAAGTATACATGACACGATAAATGGAAGTTGAGAGGCAAGCTGAGGAACTGGAGCTCATTCCCCTAAAAACCTTCCTGGTAAATAGAGAGACTTACCCTTCAGAAGGAACACTGTATGCTAGACCTCCTGTTACAGAGACAGGAAGACAGTGTGGAAATGCCATTGGAGTGACAGTATTTAGTGATGAAACCTCACTCACGGGCAGTGTAATCTGTGGATGAAAATATGTATTAGATACCAATTCCATTTTATTTTAAATTTCAATAGGTCCCTTCAAGGCAGCTTTGAAGGGACATGAGCTAGAGTATGCCACAGCCACACTGAAAGGGGATTCATTTGTAAAATCTTTGATTTGTGGTCACAGTGGTGGCCCATGCTAACCTCTCTATGGCGTATATAAATATACCCAGTTGGATGACTCTTATTGGAGTCAGCTGGTCCAGTAGTTAATGTACTGCAAGTTTTAGGACTCATGTGGAATGGGTTCAAACTCCACCTGTTCTGTAGTTTAAATTACCTGATTTCCTGATGAGAATAAGGATTTCATTTCATAATTTATTATGCTTGTTATACAAATTTGAATTGTAATGTCCACAAACTTATGGAAAGACAGAGCAAGTGATGGGAGAGTTACATAATCTGGGTCACTGTGCCTTGATGTGGTATAAACCCTATGCAAAATAACCACAGAGTTGAATGATAGCTCTAGGCCTTCTGTGTTTCAATCAGCACATCATCAGGAGCTTGCAATGTTGCAGAAAAGGTGGTGGTGGTCCAAGCAAATACTATCAGAGGAAGAGTCTATGCTCAAGCCAAGATGCTTCCTCTACTCATATTTGCCTGGACCTCTTCCTCTTTTCTACAACACTGCAAGCTCCTGATGTGTTGATTGCAACACAAAAGGCCTAGAGCTATCATTCAACTCTTCCCGTAGTTGTTTTGCATCTTGTATCGCTTGTTTGTGGTGTGAATATAATGTAGAGAATTCGTAGTTTGGAAATTAGGAGAAGGTGTGGGATTACCAAAACTATTGTCCAGAGGGCTGAGGAGGGGTTGTTGAAGTGGTTCGGACATGTAGAGAGAATGGAACAAAACAGAATGACTTCGAGTGTATAAATCTGTAGTGGAGGGAAGGAGGGATAGGGGTCGGCATAGAAAAGGTTGGAGGAGGGGGTAAAGGAGGTTTTGTGTGTGAGGGGCTTGGACTTCCAGCAAACGTGTGTGAGCAGATTTGATAGGAGTGAATGGGGACGAATGGTTTTTAATGGTTGATGTGCTGCTGGAGTGTGAGCAAAGTAACATTTATGAAGGGATTCAGGGAAACCGGCAGGCTGGACTTGAGTCCTGGAGATGGGAAGTACAGTGTCTGCACTCTGAAGGAGGGGTGTTAATGTTGCAGTTTTATAACTGTAGCATAAAGCACCCCTCTGGCAAGACAGTGATGGAGTGAACGATGATGAAAGTTTTTCTTTTTCGGGCCACCCTGCCTTGGTGGGAACCGGCCGATGTGTTAATAAAAAATAAAATAACATCCTATAAGTATGCACATTTAGGAATATCAAAAAGGATAAATTTTCATAAACTGTTATATTACCTGCTTTAACCCTTTGATCTGAAGACTCTGACCCAGCATCACAAGCTGTTGCAGACGATTTTGTGGAATGTGAACTTGACCTTTATAGATAAACTGAAAAATGAAATTACCATTAATTAGGCGATACAAAAAATACAATTTTGTAGACTGGCCAAATAATGGCCAATACAAGACAGTTTTAACTTCCAAGCATTGCTAATACAGGTGGTCTTGTTCAATTGAATCAACGTTTCAAAATCCTCTCCAAGAGTAAGAGAAGAACCATCAATCAAAACACCTTCACCAACTACAAAACTGCATTCCAGCTCTCATATTCCCATCTTCAAGTTATGCTTTACAAGTGAAGATGAACCCAACCGTAGATATTAGGGACTCTGGCCAGAGAGTACAGTATTTTACAGAGTTGAACCCCCCCCGTCCCCAGACAAGTCTCGAAAATTTGCCCAGCATCTTGAAAGCCAAAGTACTATTTATCATTTTTGTTTTTTCCAAAATTTAAGCAATCAGAATTAGGGGGGACGTCCTTGACAACAGAGCGTCTTGTTCGCTATAAAATACGGTACTGTACCTAATAACTGCCTTTGCCTATCAATTTTGGTACTGTGGCCCCTCTAGCACTACTGAAGACTACTGTATGCAACTGCTAAGCTCAAAAGGGGATGCAGCTCTTACTGTTGGTATATTATGCACTAGAACAAAAAGGCACAATACCATGACTGGAACAGAACACAAATAACACACACATAGGAGAAAGAAACTTGTGATGTTTGATCTGACTTAAGACTTAATTAGTCGTAAGTTAATGGTCCAAGTCAGACTGAAATGTAGTCATACATTTCTTTCTCCTATGTGGTTATTAGGGTATTATGCACAAGTTATTGCCACTGCTTGGCTACTGAGGAAGTAACAATTTTACCAATGTTTCCACTGAAGATGAAAATAAAAGCATTCAGCATTATAATCCTTATTTTCATTGAAGCTAAGTTTGATTTCCTTTCCTTATTACACCAGTGAGCTTTTGTTTGTAGCACATATCCATAATTCTTGTTTTATTTACTCGATAACCAACCTGATAATCTTTAAGTTTCACATGAAACCTAATCTCAGAAAATTGCTTGTCTGTCATGTGCTGGATATGTCAGGTTATATTTCAACCAACTTTAAACCTATTTCATTTACATTAATAAATTTATCATAGCTGCCTATTTGTCTTGGGGGGGGGGGGGGATGTAAGCAGTATGTAAGGCTATGTTGCAACATCATCTAACATACCCACTGCAAATATGAGAACTTCTCTAGCCTTAACCCTTTCAGGGTCCTTCCCGTAGATCTACGGCTTTACATTCAGGGTCCAAACCATAGATCTACGTCATGAGCTCAGCTCGCTCTGATAAACTGTGAGTGGCACATTTGGGCCTAGATATGAGAGAATACATGTATGTGGTATGTGTGCACCACATAAAACAAATCCTGCAGCACTCTGTGTATAATGAGAGAAAAAACTGAGACCATGATTTTCGATTAAAACAGCGACTTTGCAGTGTTTTTTTGTATGTTTTTTATAGTTGTATTTGCAATTTCTTGGTCTCATTTGATAGAATGGAAGACATATTACTGAAATAGAGATGATTTTGATTGGTTTTAGCACTGGAAATGGCTTGAAACTGAGCTCAAAGTAGCGGAAATGTTAAATTTTTGCCGATGTTCAGGAGTAAACAAACGACCTCACACGTCTAATACACGCCAGCTGGTGGGTCTAATATACATTCACAAATGTGGTGATGATATTTATACAATTATTACAATAATGCATAACAGTAAATCTTCTATTTTTTGGTGTGAATAAACATTCATTATGTGAATAACGTAACTAATGAACAGAGGAAATGTTAGTTTAGTGCCAGGAATACCTACATTGTTTATTCTGGACCTTATTTTGAAATTGGAATATTTTGAACTTTGTGTTAAATTGGCCAAATTACCAATTTCTGATCACTTTATTTTGTAGTTGAAACAGTCGACTTGGGGATTTCTTGTGCTCAATCGATAGAATAGAAGTAGTACTAGTGAAATAGATAAGAATTTGGTCAGCTGGAATAATGTAATTGGCCTAAAATGGGAGTCAAAGTCGGCAAAATCGCTGATTCGTAAATATCGCTGACACATCAAAATTTGCAAGAGCATAATTTCGTCAATTTTCCATCAAATTTCGTACTTTTTGTTTTATTACCTTAACAAAAAGATTCTCTACCATTTCATAAGAAAAAATAACAAATTTCTTTTTGAAAATTCTTGGACACTGGGGCACCACTTCAGATTTTGGCCTTGGACCCTGAAGGGGTTAATGTGATGCTAAGGTGTTAAAAAAAAAAAAAAATCTTTCTGGTGAATTTATGAGTGCCAAAAAATTAAATTATGGCTGGGAGAACAGGATTAGTCAAGGTGTTTAATGACCATTTCAGCTATTAGTTTCAAACTGAACATATACAATACTGGACTGCTAAGTATATTCGCACACTCCCAATAACCCTTCTTGCACTTAAAAAAAAAATTACAAGTGATCACACAAATACATTTCACTATTAAGTGTTAAAAAAATTATTCAAAGCTGTATCTTTACAGAGACAGTAGACTGGTGACCTTGTTAGCCAAACAGCAGCTGATTACTAATAACTAACACTTGACAAGGAAGCTGAAGGTTATCCACTGTATGAAAAAACTTTTATCTTGTGAGGGACACAAAGCAGTTTCATACTACTGAGTTACATGAAGCACAACTAAAGTCTCAAATTAGTACCAGGAATTGGTCAATACTTTACAACAACAACAACAAAAACTTTGAGTCTCCCTCTTTCCTGACATGATTTTTACAATAATGGTCCAAGACTATTTATAAAAACATTTTTTTGGGAATGAAAGAACATTTTATACTTCAATTATTTCTGCATAAAGGAAAGGCTTTAATAATTACAATGAATATGAAAGTGTGATAATGAAATTGTAAGGAGTGTAAAAAATGTTCAAGTAGTATAAAATACATTAATTTTATTATTATTATTATAATCAAGGGGGAAGCGCTAAACCCGGAGGATTATACAGCGCATGGGGGGGGGATGTGAAAGGCATTCAGGCTTAATTCGGGGAACTGGAGCACAGATCCAATTCCCTAAATCAAGAGCCCCTCACCAACATCAAGGAACCTTCCTTGAGGGGATGACAATTTTAGCCACAGACTAATTTCAAATAGTGCAGTGTATTGTAATACCAAAAGTGTGTGTGCATTTTATGCAAAAATTTACAAAGGATGTGAATATCAATATTTTTAAATTTAAATTAAAAATATCCCATAAAACTAACCTCCAGCAACATGATGACAAGAGATCTTGGAATATTCGTCAGGAAGATGACTGGATGAGGATTTGAAATCCGAATGAAGACGTCCCTCAAGTAAGGAGAACAGCCAGCAAGTACTACTCTATGAGCACCCACAATGCCATCTTCACAGGCTATACTGCAGTCCACAAACTCTTCCTGAAATGTGCATGTTTATTATGCACAATCAAGCATAAATATCCGTGTATAAAAAAAACAGGGTGGTAGGAGCAGCAGAACAGTCAAACAGCTTCCAGGAGAAATGTCAGTGTTGAATTTTTCCTCAAGGCCTTTTGTTATTTACTTCTCCAATGTTATGGGTCCCCACACATTCACCTAGTGAATGTGCTTTGAATACTGATGCATAAAATATTAATACTTAATATAACTCATTCCTTTTCCTCTCTCTCAGTAATATGTAAGCAATTTAACAAACAACATTCAGGTATCTGTATTATTCCCATTGTCCTTAACTGGTGCCTTAACAATAAAAACTTCACACAGTTGAAAATTGAAGAAAAGTGCCAAAGCGATAATGAATTATTCAGTAGTAGAATAATTACTGTAATTTGCAACACTTAAGACGCACCACCAGAACTGTTCACAGAATATACCACGTACATTCATTCTAAAGTTATTTGGGTAGGTGGAAAGTTCAACTGCAAAGAAAATGGTGTCTTATATGCTGCAAAATAGGATAAATGGGATGGTAGTTACTGCTACAACTACTGGAAATTTAAAAACTACAGCACAAGCCAGAATAAATTCTGACAAAGGAAGAGCAGTGCTTCACTCATGTAGGCCTGGTCACAGACCGGGCCGCGGGGGCATTGACCCCCGGAGCTCTCTCCAGGTAAACTCCAGGCAATTATGAACAAGTACAGTGCTAGAGGAAACTACAAAAAGCTCCTCTAACTGCTAACAGGTACAGTAATTATTATAATCAAAAAGAAGTGCTAAACCACAAGGGTTATACAGCACAACGGGTACAGTAAACCCTCAATTCAGAGGATTAATTTGGTAAAGTGGTTGGCCAGTAATGGTGATGAATGACAGTTTTGCCACGATCATAATAATAATGGTAACCAGCAACTTTGTCCATTTTTTCCTAAATCAACCAAATAAATTTTGTCCTGCATTTCCAAATTCTACAAAATCAAGATCCATTAACTCAAGGGTTTACTGACAATAATACATATAATTACCTAAGACACTTACAGATGTCTGCTGGATGTTTAAACCCATTCCACTCAAAATCACCATCTCTCTCCAACCCTTCCAACATTTCTTTTAGCCCACCCTGGATTTACTGTGCATTTTTTATAATCACAATTATTCTATGCCTTGCAATACCAACGTTGTATCTTTCTTAATTTCAGTTTTGCTAAAAATACAATAACGATCAACAGTCACTACCTGTATCAAGGTAATATTTTAATCATATGTTGATTTAGCTTTAGTGTTATCTAAAATGTTAGGCATTTTAACCCTTTGAGGGTTTCGGACGTACTAGTACGGCTTATGACCCAGGGTTTTTGACGTACTAGTACGCCTAAATTCTAGCGCCCTCAAATCTAGTGGGAGAAAGCTGGTAGGCCTTCATATGAAAGAATGGGTCTATGTGGTCAGTGTGCACAGTCTAAAAAAAATCCTGCAGCACACAGTGCATAATGAGAAAAAAAAAAACTTTGACCGTTTTTTTGGAATAAAACAGCGACTTTGCACTGTATTTTCGTATGGTATTTATTGTTGTATTCTAGTTTTCTTGGTCTCATTTTATAGAATGGAAGACATATTACAGAAATTGAGATGATTTTGACTGGTTTTACAATGAAAGATACCTTGAAATTGAGCTCAAAGTAGCAGAAATGTTCGATTTTTACTAAATTTCAAAAGTAAACAAATCGTGCCAATGGTCCAATACACGTCAACTGGTGAGTCTAATATTCTTTCACAAGTGCGCCAATAATATTTATACCATTTTTTACACTAATGCAGTAGTCTGCATAACAGTAAATCTTATATTTTTTGTGAGAATAAAAATTCAAAGTGGAAAGCAAAAGAATACAAGAGGGGCCTTGAGACGTGACTAATGACCAGAGGAAATGTCATTTTAGTGCCAGGAATGTCTTTCTTGTTTATTCTGGACCCTATTCAGAAATTGGCATCTTTTGAAATTTGTATGAAATTGGCAAAATTGCTAAATTCTGACCACTGTACTGGATAGTTGAATTTCATAAATGGGTGGTTTCTTGCACCCATTCGATAGAAAAAATGGAGTTCTAGCGAAATATTCATGTTTTTTGTCGACTAGTACAGTGGAATTGGCCGAAAATGGGGCTCAAAGTGGGCAAAATCGCCGATGCGTAAATATCCCCGAGACCGCTAACTTCGCGAGAGCATAATTCCGTAAGTTTTCCATCAAATTTCAAACCCTTGGTGTCCCTATGATCGGAAAAAGATTCTCTATCTTTTCATAAGAGAAAATCATTTTTTTTTTTTAAATTTGGCCGACCCTGAGAACGAGTTTCGGAGAGGGCCTGTCAACCCTCAAAGGGTTAAAGACTCAAGACATCATTAAGACAACCTTAAACTACTCAAGGAACTAAATGTGATGACGTTATTCCTTGGAAATAAATCTTTTTTCAACTCCAATAACAAACTGCTGCCCCTTCCAGTCAGTATTATTTTATAACCTCAGCCATGTTCATTTCCCCCTAATAGGTACATGCACTGGCAGTGCAATATTGTATATACCTTACCTGCTCTCTTAGTGTTAAGAAGATGTCACCATAATTTGAGAGATGATCATTCCAACGAAGCAAGTATTGTGATATTGGTGTTGACACCATGATGACTGTTAAGAGAAAGCATATCAAAAAATTTAAGTATATTATATATCATATTAGGATTATGGGGCTAGTAACCTCTTCTCTTGTACAAACTACTAAATGTAAAAGGAAAGCTTCATAAGGTTTTCCTCTTTTCGAGTCACCCTGCCTCGGTGGGGTGTACGTTGAAAGAATATAGTATATCATATCAATATATTTTGAGACTTGCAGGATGATAGTAGTACTTGCAAAATACTAAAGATGAGGTCTCTGCAGCAATCACAATACTATACTTTAACTGTCTTAATAATTACACAGAATAAAACATCAATATTCACAACATAAGCATAAATAGATGGTCTAGCTATACTATTAGCAGGCACTCAAATTTTGCCCTCAGGAATACTGTCACAACACGAGTGCTAACATTCATGTACTTATTATTGTGATTTGATCCTATCTTTAAGGTTAATATAAATAACTCAGTTTACCTTATTCCTAGTATATTTCCTTTCATTGTAACTGATTTTCACATAGTTGAGTTCAAATAATAAGGTATTACAAGGACCCTAATGGAAATAAGTCACATTAAGTAAGTTTATTCAGATACATATACACAAATACAGTTATATAGCTTATCATACATAGGAACATACGTGTAGAGAACCTAGGATAACCCAAAAAAAAAGTCAATGTGACTTATTTCCATCAGGGTCCTTGCTGTTGTCTGCCTTTTTTTTTAGCTATCCTAGGTAATTTACACTATGATAATTGTACTTATGTATACCTGTGCCTAAATAAATACACCTTTGAGTCAATATCTACCTGAAGAATAAACAAAAATAGAAACTAAACAACTCACCACTAACCCACAAATTGGAATTCAAGTCTCTGACAACACTGCAGTCAGTCTTGGATCATAATGTTATCAGTATGCCATTCGCAGAGATATTCTCAAAACTTCAGGATAGTTTTCTTTAGGAAATGAAAGTGTCTATTCAGCTGGGTAATAACAAGTTTAAATTACATTTAAGATTTGATTATATAAGCTTATAAAAACATCATCTGTTGAACCACAAATAAGAAAATCGAAAATAGATAAATGCAATAAATCTGACAATTTAGTTCGACACTTGTTTCCATTTGAGCAACCTACTACTGCTTCAGTAGCTTAACCTTTAGGAAATCTACAAAATGGTGTTGCAGAGTATAAATTTATGCAGTGCTTATGAGGGCATACATGTCTGGGCTTATATATGTATGTATTACTCTATCATTGTATTGATTATCTATCAAATCACAAATTACCTTACTCTAAATTTTACTCAAAAATAAACACTTCCTTCCCATTCTTTTGGATTAAACCCAAGAACCTCGCAGCACAGTGATTAACTCTCTCGGCTTACTACCCAGAGGATACGAGCCCAAGACTGTTCAACTGCCTCCCAGCATACATAAGGGGCTGTCTTCAAGAGAGCTGGACACACACTTAAAAACAGAATCTGACCAGCCAGGCTGTGGCTCATACATTAGATTACATGCGACCAGCAGTAACAGCCTGGTTGATCAGGTCCTGATCCACTGCAAGGCCTGGTCATAGACCAGGCCACAAGAACACTGACCCCCTTGAACATCCTCCAGATATGTCTTTAATACCTAGTATCTAGGAGGACCTAGGAAAGATCAACGGAAATATGCCACACTGACTATCCTGTCAGCCTGGGTTACTAACCCCTTGGGGTTAATATGAATAAAGTGCTCTCTTACTCCCCAGGTGCTGTGATCCCTAAGAGTTTAGTGCTTTTGTCAACCACAGTTCAGTTGGCAGTGCACTCAGGTCACATACTGAGTGTCCGTGGTTCAATCCCCGGTACCTAGCAATAAGTGGGTACCTGGTACCTGGGTATTTCATGTTACACCTGCTGTCCCTGTCCATCTAGCAGTAAGTAGGTACCTGGTACCTGAGTGTTTCATGTTACACCTGTTGTCCCTGTCCACCTAGCAATAAGTAGGTACCTAGTACCTGGGTATTTCATGTTACACCTGTTGTCCCTGTCCACCTAGCAATAAGTAGGTACCTAGTACCTGGGTATTTCATGTTACACCTGTTGTCCCTGTCCACCTAGCAATAAGTAGGTACCTAGTACCTGGGTATTTCATGTTACACCTGTTGTCCCTGTCCACCTAGCAATAAGTAGGTACCTGGTACCTGAGTGTTTCATGTTACACCTGTTGTCCCTGTCCACCTAGCAATAAGTAGGTACCTAGTACCTGGGTATTTCATGTTACACCTGTTGTCCCTGTCCACCTAGCAATAAGTAGGTACCTAGTACCTGGGTATTTCATGTTACAGTTGTCCCTGTCCACCTAGCATAGTGGTACCTAGTACCTGGGTATTCATGTTACACCTGTGTCCCTGTCCACCTAGCAATAAGTAGGTACCTAGTACCTGGGTATTTCATGTTACACCTGTTGTCCCTGTCCACCTAGCAATAAGTAGGTACCTAGTACCTGGGTATTTCATGTTACACCTGCTTGTCCCTGTCCACCTAGCAATAAGTAGGTACCTAGTACCTGGGTATTTCATGTTACACCTGTTGTCCCTGTCCACCTAGCAATAAGTAGGTACCTAGTACCTGGGTATTTCATGTTACACCTGCTGTCCCTGTCCACCTAGCAATAAGTAGGTACCTAGTACCTGGGTATTTCATGTTACACCTGCTGTCCCTGTCCACCTAGCAATAAGTAGGTACCTAGTACCTGGGTATTTCATGTTACACCTGTTGTCCCTGTCCACCTAGCAATAAGTAGGTACCTAGTACCTGGGTATTTCATGTTACACCTGTCTGTCCCTGTCCACCTAGCAATAAGTAGGTACCTAGTACCTGGGTATTTCATGTTACACCTGCTGTCCCTGTCCACCTAGCAATAAGTAGGTACCTAGTACCTGGGTATTTCATGTTACACCTGTTGTCCCTGTCCACCTAGCAATAAGTAGGTACCTAGTACCTGGGTATTTCATGTTACACCTGCTGTCCCTGTCCACCTAGCAATAAGTAGGTACCTAGTACCTGGGTATTTCATGTTACACCTGCTGTCCCTGTCCACCTAGCAATAAGTAGGTACCTGGTACCCGAGTGTTTCATGTTACACCTGCTGTCCCTGTCCACCTAGCAATAAGTAGGTACCTAGTACCTGGGTATTTCATGTTACACCTGCTGTCACTGTCCACCTAGCAATATACAGGTACTATCCGGGTCTTAGGCGACTGTTGTGGGTCGCATCCTGGGGGATGGTAGTATACCTTAGACAAAGCTGGGTTTTGAAATAATCCGAGGCAGAATAACAGCTTATAGCCTCTAAAATTGGTGCAAAAAAAAAAAAAAAAAGACCCCAATGGAATTAAGTTCTTGACTGGCTTTACTGAGTTACTAACCCACCTGGGTTAATAATTAACCTCAATTGCCAAAAACAGTTTATATTATTAATTGTTATCCAACGAAACATTTAAAGTGATAATTTCCTGCCACTGAGAACATTACGTTCATTAAGAGGGGAGAGCACTAAATCCGTATGAGCCATTCAGTCATTGGAGGGAATAAGCAAAACGGGGAGGAAATAAAAAGTAATCCCTTTGCCTCCAAGGAAAGGGGCCAAAAAGGCCAGATCCAATTCCTCGGATCAAGAACCCGTTCCTCACCACCATCAGATCCGCCCAAAAACAGTGCTAATTCAGCCACAGTTTTCCATCTCTCTACAACAACTACACCTCACTCTCCCTCTTCCTACCTCTAGTGTGACCACTATAGCACGCTGCAGTAGGGGTCACGGTGCCTGAGGTAAGTGTGTCACCTAATAACAGCAACAAAAGCAACAACAGCCTCACAACACCATTTGAAAACAACAGTGAATCAGATGTGAGGTGAAGGTACTACCACTTAACACATTATTATTATTGTTTTAAACAGTTTTAGTAGCATATATAATGCTATTGCAATTATCATTCATTATTATTATTGGCATTATTAATAGAAATTTTAATGTTTTAAAGGTTAAAATTAAAAAGGTAAGGTGATAGTCCCAACAAATCCAAAATTTTCCAGGGAAAACCAAGTTAACGCTTTAGTAAGTAAGTAAGTAAGTAAGTAAGTAAGTAAGTAATTTTATTCAGGTATACACAAATACAGTTACATAGAATTATCATACATACAGCTATAGTGTAGAGAACTAGGATAACCCAAAAGTCAGACAGAGTGACTTATTTCCATTGGTGTCCTTTTACCTTTTTATTATAATATAAAGGTTATAATATTTTCTTATTATTCTACAATGAAGATAACATCTTATTATCATACTAAAAAGACTATCTACTACACGAGGGTCATTAAGACTATCTACAATACGAGGGTCATTACTAGGAATAGGTAAAAGTTACACGTATGTAGCTAAAAAATAGAAAATCATTCCCCTCCTTTATAAATATACTAAATTTTCTACCAGTATTAATTATTTAATTATATTATTAATTCTAATTTTAGTACCGCAATTAAAAACAATAAATGGTAAAGCCTTCCTTAACACATTAACCACTTCTGGTTTTCCTGTACATTTTTTCCTTTATACATTTTTTTCCTTTATACGGTAAAAAAAATAATGTAATTAACATGAAATGAAAATTTAAAAGAAAATAAGGAAGCCTCTAATATTTCGGGCAAATTAATCCTAATGCTTTAAAGATTAACAAAATATTACTCAATTTTCTGTTTTGATAATAATCAAAAGAAGCGCTAAACCCACTAGGGTCATACAGCACTTTTTTTCTACTAGTGTTAACTATATTATTAGTTATTATAATCAAAAAGAAGCGCTAAACCAATTAGAGTAATTATATTAAAACGATAATTATATTATTCAATCTACTGTTAAATACTGCAATTATAATCATAACGAAGCGCCAAACCCTTAAGGGTCATACAGCATTGCAATTAAAAATAATAGGTAATATCTTCAGTAATATCATATTAACAGCTTTTTATTTTACTTTCAAAATATTATATTTTCTACTAATAATCTGAATTATAATAATAATAATAATAATAATAATAATAATAATAATAATAATAATAATAATAATAATAATAATAATATAGTTTAAAAATGTTATTCTGCTATTACTGCTACAATTAATAATATTGTGAATTCAGTTCACACCCAAAGGACCCGGGTTTGATCCCGGGATGAGTGAAAATGTTAGTAATGCAAGGTCCATCTTTTTGAAACACCCTGCATATGTAAAATAACAACGCGGGAGTTCAGTGATAGCTCTTGGCCTTTCGTGTTGCACTCAGCTCATCAGGAGCTTGCAATGTTGCAGAAATGAGTAGGAAGACTAGGCAGGTCTGTTCACAGGAATGAATCTACCTGGACTTTCAGCTTTGCAATATTGCAAGCTCTTGATGAGGTGTTAATTGCAACATTAAAGGCCTAGAGCTATCATTCAACTCTCCCTGTGGTTATTTTGTATCTTTTGTTACTCGTTTTGGAATTATCCCATAGTAATATATGTGTAAATTATCTAAGGTAACCCTTGTGTCCCTGTCACCTAGCTAAGTAGGTTAGGTAGCTGTTGTGGGTGGCATCCTGGGGAAGAGGATCAAAGAATCCCAATGGAAATAAACCAGGCATAGTGGTTTAACTGGGTTTTTTCTGGGTTACTATCCCAGATGGGTTAATAATCCAAACATAATCTCTAATAATGGTGTCCCATGGCTTGGTTGGTAGTACACTTACCTCATTTACTGAGTGTCTGGGTTCGATTCTCTGCATGGGTGAAAACACTGAACATGTATCCTTACACCTGTTGCCCCTGCTCACCTCGCAGTAAGTAGGTACCTGGGTGTTATTTGACTGGTGTGGGTCATATCCTGGGAAAATGAACCTAATTTGCGGGAAATGCTCTGCATAACAAGCGGCTTTCTATGTAGTAGTACGTGACTCACGAAATCGTAATGACACGATTGCATACAAACCAACGCAACGGTCTGGAGTTTTGAGGCTCTCTGATCGCGGGTTCTATCCCCGCCCGTGGTATGTTTTTTTTTATGTAGTAGTACGTATGTCATTGATGTCAGCTATGGTCTTTATACCTTGTACATGTACTTGTAGAAATAAAGATTAATTATTATTATTATTATGGAGGACAAGACTACAGGACCACAATGTAAATAAGACAGACAGTCCTCGATGATGCACTGACTTTCTTGGATTATCCTGGGTGGCTAACCCTCTGGGTTAAAAATCCCAACAAAATCTTATCTCTTAACCTCTGAAGTAAGATTCCTTGATGCTGGTGAGGGACTCTTGATCCAAGGAAATGGACTTGTCTGCCCCTTCCTTAGAGAGAACTTAACTGCCCCTCAAGGAAGGAGTACCATCATTTGTAGTGAAGGTTATTTAGGTACAGGTACACGGAAGTACAATTATCACACCTAGTAACATATAGCCTGGAACCTAACCTACTCTAGAAGCAGGGCCCTACAGTAGCCTTGAACCTAACCTGCTATATAAGCAGGGCCCTACAGTAGCCTGGAACCTAACCTGCTGTATAAGCGGGGCCCCAAATTGCTCGGAACCTAACCTTCTGTATAAGTTGGGCCCTACAGTAGCCAGAACTTAACCTGCTGTGTAAGCGGGGCCCTTCAGTAGCACAGAACCTAACCTGCTGTATAAGCATGGTCCTACAGTAGTCTGGAACCTAACCTGCTATATAAGTAGGGCCCTACAGTAGCCTGGAACCTAACCTGCTGTATAAGGTGGGCCCTACAGTAGCCTGGAACCTAACCTGCTGTATAAGCAGGGCCCTACAGTAGCCCAGAACCTAACCTGCTCTATATGCAGGGCCCTACAGTAATCTGGAACCTATACACAAATAACCCACACATAAAAGAGAGAAGCTTACGACGACGTTTCGGTCCGACTTGGACCATTGACAAAGTCACACTGTATCGTTCCAGTCAAGGTATTGTGCCTTTTTTTGTTATTTATCTGGAACCTAACATGTTGTATAAGCAGAGCCCACCCCTAATTGTAAGTTTCATCACACATCACAGTTATCCTGTGGGCAATGCTGTAGTCAGATCAAATCAGGGAACGGGTGAAGCCTGAACCTATGGCAAGCAAATCCTAAAATTTGCAGGCCAGTGCGTTAACCACTTGGCCAGCTAAATCGTAGTACAGTGGTACCTCAGGATACGAAATTAATTCGTTCCAGAAGGCCGTTCAAGTGCTATACCAAATGAATTTGTTCACATACGGAATAATGTAAATTAGATTAATCTGTTTCAGATCCCCAAAAATACACTTACAAAAGCACTTACAAAAATACACTTACATAATTGTTCGAGTTGGGAGCTTTAATGGAAGTGAGAAGGCTCTTAATCCAGGGAACTGTACTTATTCTTCCTGTCTTTGCATCAGATCAGCTAGCTGGGGCACTTAATGTAATCCTTCCTTATTGTACTCTGTTTTGCTTCTTTTACTCGTATTAAATAAAAAAAATTCTCTTTGGTTACTGATTTCCCCCAGTAGGTAACATACACAAGGGGGATTACGAATAGACCCCTGGCTGTCTTCAAGCAGGAGCTGGACAGGCACCTAAAGTCAGTACCTGACCAGCCAGGCTGTGGTTTGTATGTCAGTTTACATGCAGCCAGCAATAACAGCCCTGGTTGATCAGGCCCTGATTCACCACGAGGCCTGTTTATGGACTGGACCATGGGGGCGTTGACCTCCAAAACCCCTTCCAGGTATACTCCAGGTATGCTTAATCTTGTATGATAGTTTGGGCAAGCATGGCAGTGCCCAACAGAGGGCAAGCTCTAAGAAAATCTAGGTTATCCTTCTCCTGTTTCCCAAAGATTCTTACACTTATACAGTACTATAATGTATTAATAAAGGTCTTTATTATAGATAATTTATTTTGTAAATACCCATAAAGAATTATCAACCTCCTAACAGATACAATCCTAACTAATATATTTATAGGCATGAGTTGTATTGTAGTTCTATACAAAATGTTGTGGATAGTTATGACACTTTCAAATTGAGTGCAAACACATTGTAAACATTAGAGAAAATATATCACATTTATGTACCTTCATAAATAAATTACAGTTTATACTTTTTATTTATGAAACTTCTGCTACAGAGGTCACTCATGGAGTTTTCAGAATAAATGCAGATCAGTGATATCTATTTCTGACGGAGCTTTGCTGCTGCAGCAGATTATGGAGGCTTTCTTGGTGGTGATGGTAGTTCTGGAAGACTGCAGAGTTCTATGTTGACAGGAGGTCATCAAGGATGTGAGAACAAACTCATATGGAATTCAGAGGTCCTCGTGAAGCTATTTCTTGTTGTTACTGCTCTCACCTGTAAATTATACATAAGGATATCATTAATGTGAATATTATCATATACAGTGGACCCTCAACCAGCAATGGCATCGATTAACGATAAATCTGACTAGCGATACATTTTAACGCAAAAATTTTGCCTCGACTAGCGCTTAAAAGCCCGACCAGTGCTATTCGTTCTGTACGAGACGCGTCCACTTTGGCCTGAGCGCGCCTCACTTGTCCCGTGGGTGCCAGTGTTTACAAGCCAGCCACCACGGTCGCTTCCAAACATACAACTGGAACATTTCATATTATCACAGCCTTTGTAGTGATAGCACCTGCAAAATAAGTCACCATGGGCCCCAAGAAAGCTTCTAGTGCCAACCCTACAGCAAAAAGGGTGAGATCATTGCTAAGTATGAAAGTGGAGTGCGTGTCTCTGAGCTGGACAGGTTGTATAATAAACCCCAATCAACCATCCCTACTATTGTGGGCAAGAAAACGGCAATCAAGGAAGCTGTTCTTGCTAAAGGTGCAACTATGTTTTCGAAACTGAGATCGCAAGCGGTAGATGTTGAGAGACTCTTATTGGTGTGGATAAGCGAGAAACAGATAGCAGGAGATAGCATCTCTCAAGCGATCATATGTGAAAAGGCTAGGAAGTTGCATGATGATTTAATTAAAAAAATGCCAGCAACTAGTGATGTGAGTGAATTTAAGGCCAGCAAAGGTTGGTTTGAGAGATTTAAGAAGCGTAGTGGCATTCATAGTGTGATAAGGCATGGTGAGGCTGCCAGTTCGGACCACAAAGCGGCTGAAAATTATGTGCAGGAATTCAAGGAGTACAAAGACAGTGAAGGACTGAAACCTGAACAAGTGTTTAATTGTGACGAAACAGGTCTGTTTTGGAAGAAAATGCCAAGCAAGATGTACATTACTCAGGAGGAAAAGGCACTCCCAGGACATAAGCCTATGAAAGACAGGCTTACTCTGTTGATGTGTGCCAATGCTAGTGGTGATTGCAAAGTGAAGCCTTTATTGGTGTATCACTCTGAAACTCCCAGAGTGTTCAGGAAAAACAATGTCGTCAAGGCTAATTTGTGTGTGCTGTGGAGGGCAAACAGTAAGGCATGGGTCACTAGGGACTTTTTCTATGACTGGTTACACCATGCATTTGCCCCCAATGTGAAAAATTACCTAATTGAAAAGAAATTAGACCGTTAAATGCCTCCTGGTATTAGACAATGCTCCTGGTCATCCTTCAGACTTGGCAGAGCGACTTTCTAGGGACATGAGCTTCATTAAGGTGAAGTTTTTGCCTCCTAATACCATCCTCTCCTGCAGCCCATGGACCAGCAGGTCATTTCCAACTTCAAGAAACTGTACACAAAAGCTATGTTTGAAAGGTGCTTTGTAGTGACCTCAGAAACTCAACTGACTCTAAGAGAGTTTTGGAAAGATCATTTTACCATCCTCAATTGTGTAAACATTATAGGTAAGGCTTGGGAGGAAGTGACTAAGAGGACCTTGAACTCTGCTTGGAAAAAACTGTGGCCAGAATGTGTAGACAAAAGGGATTTTGAAGGGTTTGAGGCTAACCCTGAGAATCCTATGCCAGTTGAGGAATCCATTGTGGCATTGGGGAAGTCCTTGGGGTTGGAGGTTAGTGGGGAGGATGTGGAAGAGCTGGTGGAGGAGGACAATGAAGAACTAACCATTGATGAGCTGCTAGATCATCTTGAACAGCAAGAGGGCAGACCTGAGGAAACTGCTTCGGAGGAAGGGATAGTGAAATTGAAGAAGTTGCCTACTTCTAAGATTAAGGAAATGTGTGCAAACCTTTTTTGATGAAAATCACCCTGACCATGCTACTGCAAGCCGTGTTGGCAACCTGTACACTGACAATGTTGTGAACCACTTTAGGAAAGTCATAAAGGAACGAGAGGTACAGGTATCTATGGCCAGATATGTTGTGCGACAGAAGTCCAGTAACTCTGAAGCTGGTCCTAGTGGCATTAAAAGAGCAAGGGAAGTAACCCCAGAAAAAGACTTGCTACCTCAAGTGCTAATGGAAGGGGATTCCCCTTCTAAACACTAAGAAGATCAACGGTCTCCCCTCCTCCCATCCCATCAATCATCACCAGATCTTCAATAAAGGTAAGTGTCATGTAACTGTGCATGTCTTCTTTAGTTTGTGTGTACTAAAATTAATATTTCATGTGGTAAAATTTTTTTTTTCAATACTTTGGGGTGTCTTGCATGGATTAATTTGATTTCCATTATTTCTTATGGGGAAAATTAACTTGACTAACGACTATTTCGATTAACAATGAGCTCTCAGGAATGGATTAATATCGCTGGTTGAGGGTCCACTGTATATGCTAGAAATATATTATTTTGTGAAGGGATTCAGGGAAACCAGTTAGCCGGACTTGAGTCCTGGAGGTGGGAAGTACAGTGCCTGCACTCTAAAGAGAGGTCTGGGATATTTGCTGTTTAGACAGTACCAACACTTGTGCATGGATTCAGGGGATGGGTTATAAATGCTGCAGGAGCAAGAAGGCTACAGGCAGTGAAGATGTTATATCTGAGATAACTTTGTGATGTGAATGCCATACAGAGAACCTGGAGCGTAAAAACTGAAAGGTGATGTGGGGTCACCAAGGGTATGATTCAGAGATAAGGAAGGGTTGTTCAGGTGGTTTGGACATATAGAAAGGCTGGAGAGGGATAAGATGAAGTGGGTGTATAAATCTGGGGTAGAAAGTAAAAGAAATAGGAGTTGTCCCAGAAATAGGTAGGAGGGATGGGGCACTGAGTATCAGGGGCTTCAGGATCCAGCAAGCTTGTGTGAACACATTATATATTAGTAAATGGAGACAAGTGGCTTTTAATGGACATGCTGTCTAATATGGGCCAGTAGGCCTGCTAAAGTGTTCCTTCATTCTTATATTCTTACAATCTTTCAGTGACAAGACTTTTACTGTCATCTATAGTCTGCTGACACAATGCAAACACTAATTACAAAATAATTCAGTCTTGGGACCAGAAGTGATCAAGGTCCCAGGACTGCATTAAATATCTCCTAGTGTTTGTTCATGTGTCTTTTTAAACCAATATAGTTAGCATCAATTACCAAGCTCTGCTGAACTAGCTGGATCCAAATGGAGCACCGACAACAACAGTAAAGAAAAGAGACAGGTTGTGGAAGAAGCTTTAATTGGGATGTTTCACTCTGTGTAGAACCTTGTCAGTTCTGCTGATAAACTTTAAAACAAGGTCATACTCCAGTGCTAGGCATCTCAAAATTTGTATTACCTTGATGGTGAGCAGTAAGGTCAGCTTAACTTGATGATGAGCAGCAAGGTCAACTTACCTTGATGATGAGATGTACGGTTATCTTACCTTGATGGTGAGCAATAAGGTCAACTTACCTTGATGGTGAGCAGTAAGGTCAGCTTCCATCTCAAGTATGAGGTGGTCTTCGGAGTCACGATCTTGGTCTTCAATCATAAACTTGAGGTAGTCAAACCCTGGTACACGAGGCTTCCACTCTTTTTTTGGCAGTTCAACTGAGGTGTACATAAAATAAAAAATATTTCCCATGCCACTCACAATTACCTCTTCAGTTTATATAGTAAGTATGGTGGTCAATATGCTCCAGTAATTAAGATATGCCAGCAATTTTGTAAATATTCTGAATAAAGAAAAATGCAGCACAGGAGGTCTTCAATTATACCCAGTCTTCATTTATTCAGACTTCCTACAATAAATATATTGAAAATTAGACACAAGTGCAACATCTGGGGATCTTCAATATACATGTTTTGCCATTCGGTGGCTTTATCAATACAAATTCTAGGACATAATTTGAAGACGGTAGAACTATATACAAAAGATGAGATAATCAGTCCCTTAGTCTTGGAGGCTGAGGGACTGATTACCTCATCTTTTGTACAGACAAGGATGTGTGATATCATCGTGGTTGTTTAATATATTTATAGATGGGGTTGTAAGAGAAGTAAATGCGAGGGTCTTGGCAAGAGGCGTGGAGTTAAAAGAAAAAGAATCACACATAAAGTGGGAGTTGTCACAGTTGCTCTTTGCTGATGACACTGTGCTCTTGGGAGATTCTGAAGAGAAGTTGCAGAGGTTGGTGGATGAATTTGGTAGGGTATGTAAAAGAAAAAAATTAAAAGTGAATACAGGAAAGAGTAAGGTTATGAGGATAACAAAAAGATTAGGTGATGAAAGATTGGATATCAGATTGGAGGGAGAGAGTATGGAGGAGGTGAATGTATTCAGATATTTGGGAGTGGACGTGTCAGCGGATGGGTCTATGAAAGATTAATAAGTAAGTTTATTCAGGTATACACAAATACAGTTACATAGAATTATCATACATAGCAGCATATGTGTAGAGAACCTAGGATAACCCAAAAAAGTCAGACAGAGTGACTTATTTCCATTGGGATGAGGTGAATCATAGAATTGATGAGGGGGAAAAGGGTGAGCAGTGCACTTATGAGTCTGTGGAGACAAAGAATTTTGTCCTTGGAGGCAAAGAGAGGAATGTATGAGAGTATAGCTTTACCAACGCTCTTATATGGGTGTGAAGCATGGGTGATGAATGTTGCAGCAAGGAGAAGGCTGGAGGCAGTGGAGATGTCATGTCTGAGGGCAATATGTGGTGTGAATATAATGCAGAGAATTCGTAGTTTGGAAGTTAGGAGGAGGTGCGGGATTGCCAAAACTGTTGTCCAGAGGGCTGAGGAAGGGTTGTTGAGGTGGTTCAGACATGTAGAGAGAATGGAGCGAAGCAGAATGACTTCAAGAGTGTATCAGTCTGTAGTGGAAGGAAGGCGGAGTAGGGGTCAGCCTAGGAAAGGTTGGAGGGAGGGGGTAAAGGAGGTTTTGTGTGCGAGGGGCTTGGACTTCCAGCGGGCATGCGTGAGCGTGTTTGATAGGAGTGAATGGAGACAAATGGTTTTTAATAGTTAACGTGCTGTTGGAGTGTGAGCAAAGTAACATTTATGAAGGGATTCAGGGAAACCGGCAGGCCGGACTTGAGTCCTGGAGATGGGAAGTACAGTGCCTGCACTCTGAAGGAGGGGTGTTAATGTTGCAGTTTAAGAACTGTAGTGTAAAGCACCCTTCTGGCAAGACAGTGATGGAGTGAATGATGGTGAAAGTTTTTCTTTTTTGGGCCACCCTACCTTGGTGAGAATCGGCCAGTGTGCTAATAATAATTGTATATACAACCAGGACCCTCCTGTATTATCATTTAAAGGCATACACACAGTATACAAAAACATTGCCAAAATTTCAGGCATAGAATTTCCAGTACACGAAATATAGCAACTTACTGGAAGGCTGGAGGTGTCCAGCCCGAAGCCTTTTAAGCCAGTCTCTGATAGTGGCCTTTGAGGTGTCTGTGTCCATAAAAGTGTACACTGTGCCCATCCTCTGACTCACAGCCACCAGAGATCTTACTACAGGAGACAACCCATAGACTGGCAGTAAGCTGTCTGCCAGAGGGTCGTCACTAGACCAAGAGAAACAACACTCATATTGTAAATTATGAAAAAGAACCACAGTAAGAATTTAAAACACCTAAACCACACAAAGTGAACAGAGTAAATCAGCAATATAAAACACACAGAGCATTTTATTAGATGATGTTTTGCTCTAAAAAAAAAGCTTTACGAAGTCTTTGATGAAACATTCAAGGAAAAAACTAATAAAAAGATTGTTATGATCTGTGTTTTACCTTCCAAGTTTGTCAGCTACTAACCAAAGTGAACAGAATAAGTTAGCAAAGTAAAACAGAGAAAGCTAAGTAGCCTTTTATTAGATGGCATTTTGCTCTAAAAGAGGATTTATCAAGTCTTTGATGAAACACTATTTAGGGTAAAACCATCTAATAAAAGGCGTGTTCTGCACTGTGGCTTACCTTCCTAGTTTGTTTCAAGATATTACTCTGATATAATAAATGGCTAGTACTACACTAAATGACTATTAGTATACTAAATGGTCACTACTACACTAAATGGTTACTACTACACTAAATGGTTACTACTACACTAAATGGTTATTACTACACTAATTGGTTACTACTACACTAAATGGTTACTACTACACTAAATGGTTACTACTACACTAAATGGTCACTAATACACTAAATGGTCACTACTACACTAAATGGTCACTACTACACTAAATGGTCACTACTACACTAAATGGTCACTACTACACTAAATGGTTCACTACTACATAAAGGGTTTCACTACTACACTAAATGGTCACTACTACACTAAATGGTTACTACTACACTAAATGGTCACTACTACACTAAATGGTCACTACTACACTAAATGGTTACTACTACACTAAATGGTCACTACTACACTAAATGGCTACTACTACACTAAAAGAAAAATCTTTGTAATACTAATGCTTACCAGAATAACCAAGAAAATATAAATCCCGGTTCTGATAATTCTGCTGCTAAATGTCCCAGTGTACTCCACATGCTATCATAGTTACTCAAGTGATCAGCATTTATATCTAGAGTACAATGTTGTCCTTTGCTTTGCTGGCCTTGAGAAGAGTATCTTCTTGCATCCAATGCCTTCCCTCTTGATTCTGACACCGTGGAATTGGATGGTAAGAACAGTATGACGAGGTGTTGGTCGGACACAGGTGAGTGTTCATCGTCCTCACTGACTCCTACTTGTAAAGCTGAATATCGCTCAGGATCCAGCGGAGCCTATCGAAAAAATGTGAATTCTTCTTTATTTCATATTTTGTATTGGATATGGGCTTTAAAATAATAAATCAGAATTCCTAAACAAGTGAAAATATATTTTAACTCCTAAGTGTAAAGCTGAATATCGTTCGGGATCCAGTGGAGCCTATTGCCCTTATTTCAAATTTTGTATTGGAACTGGGCTTTAAAATAATAAATCAGAACTTATAATCAAGTCAAAATACATTTTAGCAGTGAATATTCACTAATATTTTATCATTTGCCTTGTATATTTTTTTAAGTTAACAACTTAGCTTCAAGAAAAATATTTTTTTAAAGCACTGGCCTGGAGATTTTTGATTCACCTGCCATTGGTTCAAACCCCACCTGTTCCATGGTTTGTTAGAAAATACAGTACTGTACTTCTGGCAAATAAACTGAATCTCAAGAAATATCCAATATGAACAGAGAATTATGCCATAAATATTGATTGAGACTATTTTTCAAATCTTCTTTCTTCTTTCAACAAACCGGCTGTATCCCACCAAGGCAGGGTGACCCAAAAAGAAAAATGAAAGTTTCTCTTTTCAAATTTAGTAATATATACAGAAGAAGGGGGTTACTAGCCCTTTGCTCCCAGATTTTAGTTGCCTCTTACCACACGTATGGCTATTTTTCAGATATTTGAAGTAATATTTATTGATACTCCATGAAGAAATGGATAAGAATCCTTCCTCTGTGAGCCATGTGTGTCGTAAGAGGTGACTAAAATACCAGGAGCAAGGGGCAGGTAACCCCTTCTCCTGTATAAAATGCTAAATAGAAAAAGAAGAAACTATAAAAGTGTTTCTTCTTTTTCAGGTCATGCTGCCTTGGTGGGAGACAGCCAGTGTGTTTATAAAAATATTTATTAATTAATGTTCCGTAATGTACAAAAACAGTGGTACTGGAGGGTGCATGTATGGAAATGGCAATAAGTTGAAGTTAGCACTAACCAGCACTGGGAGTGAGGCATGAGAGACAAAGTTTATAATGGCACCAGAGTTGTCAAGCTCTTTATCAAGCATTTTTCTGGATTGAAAACAGTCGCCAGGCTTGGTTACCACCACACATCCTTCATCTGTCTTACATCTTCAAAGCAAAACACATGAAAAAAATATTGAAAGATTAAGTGCAGATCTGCATGTAGAATATTGGTCAACATAGTCATACACGCCCTACATCATTACGTACTTGGTTCCAAGAGCCGTGATGTAACTTGGTTTATGACCTAAACCTGACATAATGCCTTAAAAATGCCTTAAAATGGCAACAAACATTGTAAAACTGCGTCAATAACTCGCAAAAGAATATAACTATTGCTAAACCTTAAAAGAATACTAAAACCACATTTTAGTCATATTTTTTAAAGAATAATGAACATAATTAAAAAATTATGACGTAGGTGACATTGCTGAGTGATGTAAAGCCGGATGTAATGACGTCCACTGAATTGAAATTTACTCTAGAAAAGTGACAAAGGCAAACTTGACGTAGGCAGAAATGACAAAGTGGGGTATGACTGTATATAAAACAAAACTAAAAATTTCACAAGATCACAAAAGTGTATGTGTAATATTAGTTAACTGAATAAAAAAAAGTTTGAGGTAAAATTCTTGTGGGCTCGGAGAGAGGGACAAAAAGGTTATTTTGCAAAAATGAACATTTTTATAGGCCAGATCACTACAGCTTTTAAAATACAAAACGAAAATGAATCAGATTTCACCAGTTTTATTACCTATGACATCATGTACGAGACTGTACCATTTGCTCATTAGCTACCTTTATTATTGTGCATATATTGGAGTCAAATGTGTAAGAAATCCTACTTAACCCGTAAACGGTCCAAACGTATATATACGTTTTTTCAACATTTGAAAGTATGTAAAAAAATGTAGATCTTCTTTTTGTTTTTTTACATTTGAAAATGTGTAAAAAAACTTTGATCTACTTTTTTTTTTGTTACATTTGAAAATATGCAAAAAAAAAGTAGATCTACTTTTGTAGCACTACACATGTGAACGTAGATCTGCTTGGACCGTTTACGGGTTAATAGGCTATGTCTAATTCTTAAGTAGTCTTTAAGCATTAGGATTAGTTTGCCCAAAATACTAACGGTTTCTTTCATACCTAACAAAGTTTTACTACATGTAAACTACATTACATGTGTACTGCATAAAAAGAAATTTGAATTTGAAGCTGGAAGGTACTGTACTGTGGAGAATTATCATTCACTGTACAGTGAAAGGAAGAAACTCGACCACTATCTCTGTACCAGTTTTCAAAACTTGTATGTATAAAACATACACGTACATAAAATATTTAATTTATTTTGCTGAAAGTGCTAAAAAAGAAAAAGTGAAGTAACACACAGGGACAAGGAGGTACTAACAAGGCATCAACAGCACGAGGAGAAATGTGTCGACCCAGGAGATGGTTGCCTCCCAGAACACGACAAGCTTCGTTAAAGGCTACTGCGTCTATAAGGAAAAATAAGACAGGTTAGATTAAACAGCCATAGGATTAGTCTGCCCAAAATGCATTGCATGCTAGTGGCCTTCTTTGTGCTTAACAATATTTTATTACATGCAAAATACACCTTGTATACTGCAGAAAAATAATGAAGTCATATTGTATTGTATAGCAGAGGTGATCAAGGTACTTTATGATCCTTGAAAATGTGTCTGAGGATCCACAACAGCAGACCACCTACAACCTACTATCACCTGGCAGAAACAAGCCATTTAAATAGTCAATACGGAAGGGATGCTACCAAAATTTTGGCCTATACCAATGCCCAATATTCAGCCAATACTGGCATTCTTTATAAGAAAAATCTACTATCATCATTAAAAGATATCCTTGTACTAACACATATAATCTTCAGATCAACACCAATATAACAGCCCATCCTCTTAATAACAGACAGCATTTCACTGTTGCTACAACAGTTAAATTGGTGACTGATAATCGAACCTTAAACCGTGATTATCTGACATTTAAGCAGTGCCTCCAGCAACAGTCACATAGGTAGTCCCCAGGGCTGTGGAGTTGGAGTCATGGAGTCAAAGTCGTGGAGTCGGAGTCAGAAGCAATTCTTGGGTTACTGGAGTCGATAAAATGTAATTAAAGGAGTTGGAATCGAAGGTGCCATAAATAATGGAGTTGGAGGTTTCATGTGCTGACTCCACAGCCCTGGTAGTCACTCCAGTAGCACCAAGACAATCAGTGCTCCACTAATACAAACACAAGCAATATTTCCAAAAGCATTATCTCCAGTATTTCAACGTGAACCAATAAAAGCATCTTTATAGGAAAAATTATTTTAGAAGTACACCAACAAAAGTGCTTCCTCCAGTACCTTGAGTACAACCAGTACTTCTATTACTATTAACAAAAGCACTTCCTGCAGTAGCACCCACAAAAGAACTTTCCTGCAGTAGCACCCACAAAAGCACTTCCTGCAGTAGCACCCACAAAATCACTTCCTGCAGTAGCACCCACAAAAGAACTTTCCTGCAGTAGCACCCACAAAAGCACTTCCTGCAGTAGCACACACAAAAGCACTTCCTGCAGTAGCACCCACAAAAGCACTTCCTGCAGTAGCACACACAAAAGCACTTCCTGCAGAAGCACCCACAAAAGCACTTTCCTGCAGTAGCATCCACAAAAAGCACTTCCTGCAGTAGCACCCACAAAAGAACTTCCTGCAGTAGCACCCACAAAAGCACTTCCTGCAGTAGCACCCACAAAAGCACTTCCTGCAATAGCACCCACAAAAGCACTTCCTGCAGTAGCACCCACAAAAGCACTTCCTGCAATAGCACCCACAAAAGCACTTCCTGCAGTAGCACCCACAAAAGCACTTTCCTGCAGTAGCACCCACAAAAGCACTTCCTGCAGTAGCACCCACAAAAGCACTTTCCTGCAGTAGCACCCACAAAAGCACTTCCTGCAGTAGCACCCACAAAAGCACTTCCTGCAGTAGCACCCACAAAAGCACTTCCTGCAGTAGCACCCACAAAAGCACTTCCTTCAGTAGCACCCACAAAACCACGTCCTCCAGATTTCCATTAATACCAGTACAAAGAACATTCTTCAATTACAACAGTCACCACTATTTCATTACACAACACTAACATATTTAGTATGTTCCTGTAATAAAGACAAAGGTAAATGTATGTAGTTATTTTTTTCAAAATGTCTAACACATGAAAAAAAAAACCATACCACGAGTGGGGATAGAACCCGTGATCAGAGTCATAAAACTCCAGACCGACGCACTAGCCCCTAATCCCCGCCCGTGGTATGGCTTGTTTGCAATCGTGTCATTACAATTTTGAGAGTCATGTCTAACACATGCTTTTATGGAATTTCTTACAAATGTTCTTCCAATGTGAAGTATTATACATTTTTTGGAAGCAATAATAATAAGCTACCATATTACTGAACAGATTTATGCTAAAATCCATTTTAGGAGCAATAAAATTTATACGAATAACCCGCTCATGGGAGAATGAAAATCATGATGACATTTCAGTCCAATTTCGACTATAAACTAGTGAGCCATTAACTGTTAATGGTCCAATTTGGACCAAAACATCGTCACGAGTTTCATTCTCCCATGTGCGGGTTATTTGTGAATTGTTCCAGTCACAGTATTGTGCCTTTTTAATCAATAAAATTTGTTACATTTCCAACCTTTAGCTGAAGGGAATATTCCTACAGTAGCAGAAGAGACAACTTTGCAGGCTGGGTGAAGGTCCTCACTGAGAGTCATCAACTGTTCCAAGTCCCCATTGTTGATCAACTCGGTAGGTGTGGCTCTTTCAGTCCTGCATCACACAATACATGTATAATATAATGACCCTTAATTACTCCTAAATATTGTAAAATTACAGTAATTTTGTTACAGCTACAGCTCAAGATAATCTATATTTTCAGGGGAGAATTTTAGCAACTCCAAGGAACTACACTGTGCTAAAATTTTCTCATAGAACTCCAGATATATTCATAAAGCAAGTACTACTGAATAATTGTAAATTTCTAAATATCTGAGTATCTAGCAGGATAGCTATCCAAATTCTTAAGTACATGTACTTCAAAAATAATTATGAATTAGCTAACAAAAGCCAGTTTTACACAATAGTGGATGACAGAGACAAAACACAGGTCACAGATGGCATCAGAGAAGAGGCTCTCACATTTGCTCAGCAGCAGACAAAAAAAATAAAATGCAAGTTGTCCCCTGCCACGAAAAGATAAACCAAAGAAGAAAAACATTCATCATTACTCATTCCCTAGCTCTCTTTCCAATTTGTAATTCAGATTGAAGTACTGCAGTGCATCAATGGTAGAATACATTGAAAAGTGTGTGATTAAGACAATATGCAGTTTATGTTTTTTGTTGAGAACACATATGGGTTAATAAAGTCCCTTTTGAATGAAACATCTCACTAACATACCATAATCTACAGACTGTGTCATATTCACAGAACCAAATGACCTCCTCATCATTGTGTGGTACAGTATATTCTTTCTTTCAACACACCGGCCGTATCCCACCGAGGCGGGGTGGCCCAAAAGGAAAAAACGAAAGTTTCTCCTTTTACATTTAGTAATATATACAGGAGAAGGGATTACTAGCCCCTTGCTCCCGGCATTTTAGTTGCCTCTTACAACACACATGGCTTACGGAGGAAGAATTCTGTTCCACTTCCCCATGGAGATAAGAGGAAATAAACAAGAACAAGAACCAGAAAGAAAATAGAAGAAAACCCAGAGGGGTGTGTATATATATGCTTGTACATGTATGTGTAGTGTGACGTAAGTGTAAGTAGAAGTAGCAAGACATACCTGAAATCTTGCATGCTTATGAGACAGACAAAAGACACCAGCAATCCTACCATCATGTAAAACAATTACAGGCTTTCGTTTTACACTCACTTGGCAGGACGGTAGTACCTCCCTGGGCGGTTGCTGTCTACCAACCTACTACCTATAACAATATATACCTAGTAGAAATAATTGCTAACAAAAATTTACTAGGAGGGTAGAGGAACTACTGGCTACTGATGACAGCAACAGATTTATTATACAAACTTTGATTATACTTCCTCTAGCACTCACCGCCCTTACTAACTCTACCACCGTCATACTTTTCACCCTTACTAGTCTCTGATCACGCATATTATCCCTATAGCATGCCCTACCCTGAAATGCTTTATGACCTTTGTGAGTTTAGCACTTAATTATGATCATAATAATTATATAATATTGGCTAGATAGGGAAAGCATTACTTGATACCAATTAAGTCCCTAATTATGTATTCTTATTAAGGAAGTCTTTATGGGGAATTGCTGAGCTCATATGGGTTATGTAGTGCCTGAGGCATGAGAAGTAACCAGGTTTGATCCAAGGAAGACCAGCCAGCCATGTGAAACACAAGCATTTAAGAAAAGCATTAATACTTGCAGTAGTATGGTCTTCAGAATGGAATCCCCATGGATAGGTCCATCGTACGTCATATTAGGTCTTCCTTTAGGGTGGAGTCGAAGAACAGGATAAGTCACAATTCCCAATGAGTTACAGAGATATGGCCAATCAAAGCAATTGACACGATGCAATGAGGACTGGCTGCCATATTCCCGAAGTTTTGCAACAATAGCGTTCATGTGTTGCAGAAGTGCGTTGCTCATAGGATCCCCTACAACAGAAAATTGGCTAAGTTTTAATAATCCATAGAAGTAAATATACAAATTAAATCAAGAATATATAAATTTTTACATACAGTATAATTTTAATGATAGCAAATATATGTATCACGTAAGTACAATATATAAAACATAATAATATAAAATAATAATAATAATATATAATAATAATAATATGTAATAATAATAATAATTCTTATTCTTTTTAGTAATTATTACAGGAATAGGGGTTACTAGCCCATTGTTCCCGGCATTTTAGTTGACTTTTACAACATGCATGGCTTATGGAGGAAAGATTCTTATTCCACTTCCCCATGGATATAAAAGGAAAAGTACTAAGAACAAGAACTAAGATAAAATCAAAGAAAACTCAGATGAGTGTGTATAAATAAACGTGTACATGTATGTGTAGTGTGACGTAAGTGTAAGTAGAAGTAGCAAGACGTACCTGTAACCTTGCATATTTATGAGACAGACAAAAGACACCAGCAATCCTACCATCATGTAAAACAATTACAAGCTTTCGTTTTACACTCACTTGGTTATTTTATATAACCGGACTTGAGTCCTAGAAATGGGAAGTACAATGCCTGCACTCTAAAGGAGGGGTTTGGGATATTGGCAGTTTGGAGGGATATACTGTGTATTTTTTATACGTATATACTTCTAGACTGTTGTATTCTGAGCACCTCTGCAAAAACAGTGATTATGTGTGAGTGAGGTGAAAGTGTTTAATGATGTTGAAAGTATTTTCTTTTTGGGGATTTTCTTTCTTTTTGGGTCACCCTGCCTCGGTGGGAGACGGCTGACTTGTTGAAAAAAATAATAATACACCTACCATCCGACTTACGACCTGCTCGACTTACGACCACTCGACTTACGACCGTGTTTTTTATGCCAAATTTCTGGGAAATAAACAACTATTTGTGTTGTACACAGTGTTTATCCTAAACCTTACAGTATAAAATACAGTACTAACAACATAAAAAGTAAAGTAAAACATGAAATACCAAAATAAAACAATAAAATAAAGTCATTACAAAAATGTTTTGTTGATATTCAGTAGTAAAGTTCGACTTACGACCATTTCGACTTACGACCGGTTCTTGGAACCAAACTCGGTCGTAAGTCGGATGGTAGGTATAAAAATAATAATAATATGTAATAAAAATAATAATTTATTCTCACACGGTACATTATACAAAACTGAATGACTTACAGCATTACATATAAAAATCCCTGGTTATGAAAAGCACATACATATATACTGAGAGGTGCATATCTCTCAGTGTATATATGCTGACAGTATACTTTAATCCCTGCTTAAGAGATTATTCTTGACTGGTAATGAACAGGTTGTGTGCAGCCTTAATGACCCCTCATGCAATCAATAGGCTAATAACCCCCATTAACCAACCTCTGCAGAGTATTCCGAGTTCTAATTACCCCCCCTACTCCCATTTCTCAGGCACAGCATGACCCTCATAGGTCATCCTGTGCCAATGTATTTTTTTTTTTAACACGTCAGCCATTTCCCACCAAGGCAGGGTGACCCAAAAAAGAAACACTTTCACCATCGTTCACACATAATCACTTTACTTACATAATATTAATTACAAAACTTTTGGCAAATGAAAATTAGTATTATTTCTAAACAAAGAATCAGAACATATGTAAGCCTGAGATTATTAACATGTATATGTGTATCTTTATACGTATATGCTTCTAAACTGTTGTATTCTGAGCACCTCTGCAAAAACAGTGATTATGTGTGAGTGAGGTGAAAGTGTTGAATGATGATGAAAGTATTTTCTTTTTGGGGATTTTCTTTCTTTTTGGGTCACCCTGCCTCGGTGGGAGACGACCGACTTGTTGAAAAAAAAAAAATGCACTTGGAGGAGTATACCTGGAGTATGAGAAAGATGCAACATGGAGAGTGAGACAAAGACAAAAAAAATTATTTCTTTGCAAAGGTTACAATGTGTAATTACATTTTTGATTTGTTAAACACAGAGAAAGCCGCTATCATGATAGGGCATTTCGGGCAGACTAATCCTAATACAGTGGACCCGCGACCAGCGATGGCATCGATTAACGATAAATCTGACTAGCGATACATTTTAACGCAAAAATTTTGCTTCAACTAGCGCTTAAAAACCCGACCAGCGCTATTCGTTCCGTACCATACGCGTCCACTTTGGCCTGAGCGTGCCTCACTTGTCCCTTGGGTGCCAGTGTTTACAAGCCAGCCAGCCACCGCGGTCGCTTCCAAACATACAACAACTGGAACATTTCATATTATCACAGCCTTTGTAGTGATTGCACCTGCAAAATAAGTGACCATGGGCCCCAAGAAAGCTTCTAGTGCCAACCCTACAGCAAAAAGGGTGAGAATTACTATGGAGATGAAGAAAGATCATTGCTAAGTATGAAAGTGGAGTGCGTGTCTCTGAGCTGGTCAGGTTGTATAATAAACCCAAATCAACCATCGCTACTATTGTGGGCAAGAAAACGGCAATCAAGGAAGCTGTTCTTGCCAAAGGTGCAACTATGTTTTCGAAACTGAGATCGCAAGTGATAGAAGATGTTGAGAGACTGTTATTGGTGTGGATAAACGAGAAACAAATAGCAGGAGACAGCATCTCTCAAGCTATCATATGTGAAAAGGCTAGGAAGTTGCATGACGATTTAATTACAAAAATGCCAGCAACTAGTGATGCGAGTGAATTTAAGGCCAGCAAAGGTTGGTCTGAGAGATTTAAGAAGCGTAGTGGCATTCATAGTGTCATAAGGCATGGTGAGGCTGCCAGTTCGGACCACAAATCGGCTGAAAAATATGTGCAGGACTTCAAGGAGTACATAGACAGTGAAGGACTGAAACCTGAACAAGTGTTTAATTGTGACGAAACAGGCCTGTTTTGGAAGAAAATGCCAAGCAGGACGTACATTACTCAGGAGGAAAAGGCACTCCCAGGACATAAGCCTATGAAAGACAGGCTTACTCTGTTGATGTGTGCCAATGCTAGTGGTGACTGCAAAGTGAAGCCTTTATTGGTGTATCACTCTGAAACTCCCAGAGTGTTCAGGAAAAACAATGTCCTCAAGGATAATTTGTGTGTGCTGTGGAGGGCAAACAGTAAGGCATGGGTCACTAGGGACTTTTTCTATGACTGGTTATACCATGCATTTGCCCCCAATGTGAAAAATTACCTAATTGAAAAGAAATTAGACCTTAAGTGCCTCCTGGTATTAGACAATGCTCCTGGTCATCCTTCAAACTTGGCAGAGCGACTTTCTAGGGACATGAGCTTCATTAAGGTGAAGTTTTTGCCTCCTAATACCACTCCTCTCCTGCAGCCCATGGACCAGCAGGTTATTTCCAACTTCAAGAAACTGTACACAAAAGCTATGTTTGAAAGGTGCTTTGTAGTGACCTCAGAAACTCAACTGACTCTAAGAGTTTTGGAAAGATCATTTTACCATCCTCAATTGTGTAAACATTATAGGTAAGGCTTGGGAGGAAGTGACTAAGAGGACATTGAACTCTGCTTGGAAAAAACTGGCCAGAATGAGGAATCCATTGTGGCATTGGGGAAGTCCTTGGGGTTGGAGGTTAGTGGGGAGGATGTGGAAGAGTTGGTGGTGGAGGACAGTGAAGAACTAACCACTGATGAGCTGCTAGATCATCTTGAACAGCAAGAGGGCAGACCTGAGGAAACTGCTTCGGAGGAGGGGAGAGAGAAATTGAAGAAGTTGCCTACTTCTAAGATAAAGGAAATGTGTGCAAAGTGGCTTGAAGTGCAAACCTTTTTTGATGAAAATCACCCTGACATAGCTACTGCAAGCCATGTTGGCAACCTGTACACTGACAATGTTGTGAACCACTTTAGGAAAGTCATAAAGGAACGAGAGGTACAGGTATCTATGGACAGATATGTTGTGCGACAGAAGTCCAGTGACTCTGAAGCTGGTCCTAGTGGCATTAAAAGAGCAAGGGAAGTAACCCCAGAAAAAGACTTGCTACCTCAAGTGCTAATGGAAGGGGATTCCCCTTCTAAACACTAAGAAGATCAATGTTCTCCCCTCCTCCCATCCCATCAATCATCACCAGATCTTCAATAAAGGTAAGTGTCATGTAACTGTGCATGTATTCCTTAGTTTGTGTGTATTAAAATTAATATTTCATGTGGTAAAATTTTTTTTTTCAATACTTTTGGGTGTCTTGCACGGATTAATTTGATTTCCATTATTTCTTATGGGGAAAATTAACTTGACTAACGATAATTTTGACTAACGATGAGCTCTCAGGAGCGGATTAATATCGCTGGTTGAGGGTCCACTGTACTGAAGGTTTAATTCTCACATGTATGGGAAAGATGCAACATGCAGAGTAAAACTTTATTCTCACATTTAAGAGTGCAGTTTTATTACAACTTAGCAAAGATCAACACTGAGAGAAACTGTCAGAACAATGTACACCATATACTGTCACTCACTACCATGGAATACGTCATGTGATAAGGGGTAATCATACTGTGTTTCTTTGTTAACAAAGGTTTCCTTCCACTTATTTTCATGTCACTGTGAAATTAACAAAATTATACTTATCTTACAAGAAAGGTAAAAGGCAATGACTGAGAGTGTGTTGGACTCAAGAGCTGAGGTGTAGGGTCCAGGTCCAGCTAGGACAGGCACACTGGTCAAGGTGTCCTCCTTCACCATTGCCAGTACCACCTCATCATCCTGCTGTAATTCCTCTGCAGATATAAGAACATAAGAATATAAGAAAGAAGGAACACTGCAACAGACCTACTGACCCATGCGAGGCAGGTCCAAGTTTCCTACCGGCTTAAGCCAATGCCCCAACCTAGTCAAGTCAGGTCAACATATGTATTAAATCAATTTACTAAATACTCTAGATATTCATAGACATTAGCAATAAGCTATATTCAAACTCAAATTCATTTTTTATTTCTTTGCAAAGCATGCAATGTGTGATTTACACTATATTAGTATGGTATTATCTAACATCAGTACAGCAAGTATTGTACTCTCACTCCTAGCATAACAGTATTTCGTAACTCTCATAGTAAAGGCATTCCAGTTAATTATGTGGATAATTTTCTATATACAGGATCATAAAAATAATAGGAATTTCTGCAAAAATGTTTAAAGTGTTGATGTTTCAACATACCCAGTGCTGGGACAGGCAGGTAGCCTTGCTCTTCCTTGGTGAGTGCCAAGTGCTGCAACATGGCTGTCAGTTGCTCATTTACCCACTCTAGTGCATTGTCATAATCATTGAGCAATGATGCACTCTCCTGAAATAAGGAGGTAGGTCTGTGTCTATTTTCATCATCATCATTTCTCACTTTCATGGAGTTGAAAGGCACTTGTCCATTTTCCTATACTACTGTATAATATGGGGAAAAAAGGATTAAAGATATTGAGCGTGACATCCATGCATTCCTGTTACTTTCTACACTAACCATGGTCATGGAGAACCATCACTGAAACACCAGAAAACCATCTGCTTCACAGATTAAGTGCTAAATTCTCCTCATGAACTATCTAAGCTAAATCTATTAATAATGAATATACCCTTAACAAACTACTTTCACTCATCGTGGCAAACTACACCTTATGGACATTATTCTCACTCAATCCATGCTGCTCTACACACTAACTAAGCATGTATATCTTATTTGTCTCTTCACTTGCACTCAAATTCACTTGAGTACACATTTTTTTCACCACATTCTATGATTCAATCACTGTCTGACCTCCTCTTCAACATCTGACCTTCAAAACAGATTGTGTGATTTCTTAATTCGACACTAATTTGTTACAAGAACTGTGACTTCTTCCTAATTCTTTCTGCTAGTGTCCTTCCTGTGATACATCTGTCTGAAGAACCTGGGTTCAATCCCAGGTTAATTGAGAGGTATGGGAAAATCTCACATCTGTTGCCTCCGTCCATTTAGAAGTAAATAAATACTTGCCCGAAATGCTCTGCATAGCCATGGGGTTTCTGCATGCACAACCAAATGTCACCCATTTTTGCACAAACATTGTCTCATGTGGAAATAAGTCTTTGACCCTGAATGGATTTTTGTTTAATAAACTACAGTAATATAGTAGCAGTAGTAGGTAGTAGGTTGGTAGACAGCAACCACCCAGGGAGGTACTACCGTCCTGCCAAGCGAGTGTAAAATGAAAGTCTGTAATTGTTTTACATGATGGTAGGATTGCTGGTGTCTTTTGTCTGTCTCATAAATATGCAAGATTACAGGTACATCTTGCTACTTCTACTTACACTTACGTCACACTACACATACAAGTACACATTTATTTATACACACTCATTAGAGTTTTCTTTGATTTTATCTTAACAGTTCTTGGTCTTATTACTTTTCCTTTTATATCCATGGGGAAGTGGAATAAGAATCTTTCCTCCGTAAGCCATGCGTGTTGTAAAAGTCAACTAAAATGCCGGGAACAATGGGCTAGTAACCCCTTTTCCTGTAATAATTACTAAAAAGAATAAGAAGAAAATTGTCAAAGTGGGATGTCTAAATGTGCGTGGATGTTGTGCAGATGATAAGAAAGAGATGATTGTGGATGTTATGAATGAGAAGAAGCTGGATGTCCTGGCTTTAAGTGAAACAAAGCTGAAGGGGGTGGGAGAGTTTCAGTGGAGAGGAATAAATGGGATTAGGTCAGGGGTTTCAAATAGAGTTAGAGCTAAAGAAGGAGTAGCAATAATGTTGAAGGATAAGCTATGGCAGGAAAAGAGGGACTATAAATGTATTAATTCAAGGATTATGTGGAGTAAATAAAGATTGGATGTGAAAAAGTGGGTTATAATAAGCGTGTATGCACCTGGAGAAGAGAGAAGTGTAGAGGAGAGAGAGAGATTTTGGGAAATGTTGAGTGAATGCGTGGGGAGTTTGAATCAAGTGTGAGAGTAATGGTGGTTGGGGATTTCAATGCTAAAGTGGGTAAAAATGTTATGGAGGGAGTAGTAGGTAAATTTGGGGTGCCAGGGGTAAATGTAAATGGGGAGCCTTTAATTGAGCTATGTGTAGAAAGAAATTTGGTAATAAGTAATACATATTTTATGAAAAAGAGGATAAATAAATATTTCAAGGGATGATGTAGCACGTAATGAAACTGGTTTATTAGATTATGTATTGGTGGATAAAAGGTTGATGGGTAGGCTCCAGGATGTACATGTTTATAGAGGGGCAACTGATATATCGGATCATTATTTAGTTGTAGCTACAGTTAGAGTAAGAGGTAGATGGGAAAAGAGGAAGGTGGCAACAACAAGTAAGAGGGAGGTGAAAGTGTATAAACTAAGGGAGGAGGAAGTTCGGGTGAGATATAAGCGACTATTGGCAGAAAGGGTGGGCTATGCAAAGATGAGAGGGGGGGAGTTGAAGAGGGTTGGAATAGTTTAAAAATGCAGTATTAGAATGTGGGGCAGAAGTTTGTGGTTATAGAGGGTGGGGGCAGGAGGAAAAGGAGTGATTGGTGGAATGACGAAGTAAAGGGTGTGATAAAAGAGAAAAAGGTAGCTTATGAGGGGTTTTTACAAAGGCAGAAGTGTTATAAGAGAACAGAGTTAATGGAGAGTAAAAGAAAGGTAAAGAGAGTGGTGAGAGAGTGCAAAAGGAGAGCAGATGATAGAGTGGGAGAGGCACTGTCAAGAAATTTTAATGAAAATAAGAAAAAATTTTTGGAGTGAGTTAAACAAGTTAAGAAAGCCTGGGGAAAAAATGGATTTGTCAGTTAAAAACAGAGTAGGGGAGTTGTAGAGGGGGAGATGGAGGTATTGGGTAGATGGCGAGAATATTTTGAGGAACTTTAAATGTTAAGGAAGAAACAGAGGCAGTAATTTCATGCATGGTCGGGGAGGTATACCATCTTTAGGAGTGAAGAAGAGCAGAATGTAAGTGTGGGGAGGTACGTGAGGCTTTACGTAAAATGAAAGGGGGTAAAGCAGCTGGAACTGATGGATCATGACAGAAATGTTTTAAAAGCAGGGGGATATAGTGTTGGAGTGGTTGGTACTTTTGTTTAATAAATGTATGAAAGAGGGGGAAGGGACCTAGGGATTGGCGGAGAGCATGCATAGTCCCCCTTTTTAAAAAAAGGGAAAGGGGACAAAAGAGACTGTAAAAAAAAAATTTTAGAGGAATAAGCTTACTAAAGTAACCAGGAAAATTGTACGGTAGGGTTAAAAATTGAAAAAATTAGAGGTAAAAAAATTGGGATTGGGGAGAGCAAGGATTTTTCAGGTGGGTGGGGGATGGTAATCAGGTTTTTACATTGAACATATATGTGAACAGTATTTAGATAAAGATGGGGAAGTTTTTATTGCTTTTTTATGGATTTAAAAAAGGGCTTGATAGAGGGGTTTGAGGAGAAATGGGGCAGATGTTCAAGATAGGAATAGGGGTAAGTTTTTAAAATGCTAAAAAGATTTTTTTATGGGAAAAGTGAGGCCAGGTTGGGGTTGTAGAGAGGGGAGACTATTCCGGTAAAAGTAGGTCTAGAAGGGATGTGTAATTCCCCATGGTTTTTTAAATTTTAATTTATAGGGGTTGTAAAGGAATAAATGCTGGGTGTTTGGGAGGGGGGTGGGATTAAATTATGGGGGGAATCAAATTAAAAATGGAATTGCCAGTTATTTTTTGGGCTGATGTACTGTGCTTATGGGAATTTCTAAAAAAAAAATTGAAAATTTTAGGGGATGATTTTGGGGAAGTGTGAAAAGGTAGAAAGTTGAAAGTGAACAAAGATAAGAGAAGGGTATGAGGGTGTAAAATGATTTAGAAAAGAAAATTGGATACAAATTGGGGAGGGGAGTATGGAAAAAGTGAATTTTTTTTCAGATACTTGGGGAGTTGATGTCGGCGGATGGATTTTTGAAGGATGGGGTTAATCATAGAATTGAGAGGAAAAAAGGTGAGTGGTCGTTGGGATTGTGGAGTCAAAAAAACGTTATCTATGGGGGCAAAAAAGGGGAAAAATTAGAAAGTTAGTTTACCAACCTCTTATAGGGGGGTTAAAGCTTGGTGGTAAATGCACAGAAAGGGAGAGGGTTGAGCAGGGAATGCCCGCTAAGGGCAATGTGTGGTGTAAATATTATGAAAGAAAATTCGGAGTGGGGAAATTTAGGAAAGGTGGGGGTTTAAATAAAAGTATTAGCCCAGGGGGCAGAAGGGGGGTTGTTGAGGTTTGGGGTATTTAGAGAGAAGGAAAAAATTAGAATGACATGGAAACAAAAATCTATGGGGGAAGGGGAAGGGGGGGGTGGGGGTCATCCTCAAAAGGGGTTTGGGAGAGAGGGGAAAAGGATTTTTGGGGGAAAGGGCTTGGACTTCCAGCAAGCGTGGTAAGCGTGTTAGTAGGATGAATGGAGACGAATGGTATTTGGGGCCCTGATGATCTGTTGGAGTGGAGCAGGGTAATTTTTATAAAAAGGGTTTCAGGGAAACCTATTTTTCATAAGTCGGACTTTAGTCCTGGAAAGGGGAATACAATGCCTGCACTTTAAAGAGGTTTGGGATATTGCAGTTTGGAGGGTATGTTTGTATTTTATATGTGTATGCTTTTAACTGTTGTATTCTGAGCACCTCTGCAAAAAAAAGTGATAATGTGCGGTTGGGGAAAATGTTGAAAGATGATGAAAGTTTTTCTTTTTGGGTATTTTCTTTCTTTTTTGGGGCACCCGCCTCGGTGGGAACGGGCCCACTTGTGAAAAAAATATATTATATAATAATATATATATTAAATATAATATATATATTATATATAAATTATATATATATATATATATTAAATTTTTTTTTTTTTTCAACAAATTGGCCCCCCCACCCAGCGGGTGACCCCAAAAAAAAGAAAATCCCCAAAAGAAATATTTTCATCATTTCAAAACTTTTACCCCCCTTGCACATTATCACGTTTTTGCAGAGGTGCTCAGAATACAAAAATCTAGAAGCATACACATATAAAATACACAAAATACCCTCCAAATGCCATACCCCAAACCCCCCCTTTAAAGTGAGGCATTGTACTTCCCATTTCCCGACTCAAGTCCCCACTATATGAAAATAACCGGGGTTTCCCCAATCCCCCACAAAAATTACCCCCCTCACACCCATTACACAAAACATACATACTGAAATATTTACAATTAACATCGGCAGAAAGGAAGATTTTTTCCTTTCGGGGGGGAATGCATGTGGCGCAGATGGTGTGTCTAGTCAAGCCCAGCTTGGCAAGGGCGGCATCACTAGCTTCATCCCTGTCGCATCCAAAACACAACATTGTTTTTAATCACGAGAAGAGTTAGCTGACTGGTGAGGGTTGCATCCTTGGGACAGGAGGGGGGTAGTATCCCTCAGACAAGGCCAGGGCTCTGATATAAGCTGAACTGGGATAACAGCTCTTAGCCTGTAAAATTGATTTGTATAAAAAAATTACTGTGGGGCATTCAGTCTTCATGTCCAGCATGGAAGAGATGTGGAAAGCTCATAGAAATGTGAAAGGAGAAAGTCTTAGTTCCAAAACAATAAGCCAGAATAAATATTAATGCTGAAAAAAAACACAAGAAAAGTTAGCCAATAAAGCAAGGTTTTACAAAACAATGTTTTATGTGAACTTTATTTTTGCTCGGCACTGTGCATCAAGCATCAAAACACAACTTAACCCGTAAACGGTCCAAACGTATATATACGTTTTTTTCAACATCTGAAAGTACATGTATGTAAAAAAAGTAGATCTTCTTTTTGTTTTTTTACATTTGAAAATGTGTAAAAAAACTTTGATCTACTTTTTTTTTTGTTATATTTGAAAATATGTAAAAAAACGTAGATCTACTTTTGTAGCACTACACATGTGAACGTAGATCTGCTTGGACCGTTTACGGGTTAAATAATGAGATGCAAGTCATTAAATAGAGTCCTAATAGGATATAACCTGTTTTATTGATTTTTTTGAAGGAGGAAGAGGCTGTTTAACATGGCCAAGTTTTACCTGGAAATTATAAATATAAAGCAATAACAATGCTCTGAATACATACCCATGGTTTAGATCAATCTAAAGTCTGGTGGCAAAATAAAAGTACATGACAATACAACTTACAAATTGACAGTGATCGTGGCAACAGATCCATGGAGCAGCTGAGCCAGGCGAGGAGCAAGATTCCTCACCCGGCTGCGAGATGACACATCGTACAGCAGTATTACCCAAGGCAACCCTGTACCATCGTAAGGTGTCACCACTTCTGAGGTAGTTGGCGACACTGAAAGTTCATGCTGGGGAAGACATAAATGACATTAATGATAGTGTAAATATGTTATCAAGATTTTCTATCCATTTGAAAGTGAAAAAAGGCTATGTTTCCCTTTACAGTGATTTTTGCTCCATAGCAGTAGCCCAGAACTTAACCTGATGAATAATTGTGGCTCTACAGTAGCGCAGAACTTAACCTGATGAATAGTTGTGACCTTACAGTAGCCCAGAACTTAACCTGATGAATAATTGTGGCCCTACAGTGGCCCAGAACTTAACCTGCTGAATAATTGTGGCTCTACAGTAGCCCAGAACTTAACCTGATGAATAATTGTGGCCCGACAGTAGCCCAGAACTTAACTTGCTGAATAAGTGTGGCACTACAGTAGTTCGGAACCTAACTTGCTGAATAAGCGTGGCACTATAGTTGCCGTATAAGTGTGGTCCTCCTGTACAGCAGTAGCCCAGAACCTAACTTGATGTATAAGTGGGGCCTTCCTGTACAGCATCAGCCCAGAACCTAACTTGCTGTATAAGCGGGGCCCTCCTGTACAGCAGTAGCCCGGAACCCAACTTGCTGTATAAGCAGGGCCCTCCTGTACTCTAATATACACTTCTGATCTTATTTACCTTCCAATCAAGTTTTCTATTCACTTTTCCCTACTCTCACAACCTCCTCTTCCTCCTCCTACTTCTGTTTCTCCACCTTATCTTTTTCAATATATTTTTGCCTTTCTTCTCTTCTCTGGCATTTCTTCATACCTTTTATCTCTGCTTCTCTGCCCTCTCTCATTTTCCAGCATTTTTAATTTCCCTCCTTACCTGTTCCTTTCTAAAAAAATCTTTTATTTATCCTGCTTCTCTTGTGACCTTCAAAATTTTTCCGATTACCACAGCAATTTTCCGTCTTTCTGATTCTCTGATATTATCTGTTTATCTGATCTCCTTTGTCCTATTATAAATTTGAAAAAATTTATTGTCCTGTATATTTATAAGTGAGATCATAATAGTATATCAATCCAGTCTAGTATATAACCAATGATGATAGAGAAATCTCACCGAGGCAGGGTGACCTGGAGTTTACCTGGAGAGAGTTCCGGGGGTCAACGCCCCCGCGGCCTGGTCTGTGACCAGGCCTCCTGGTGGATCAGAGCCTGATCAACCAGGCTGTTGCTGCTGGCTGCACGCAAACCAACGTACGAGCCACAGCCCGGCTGATCAGGAACTGACTTTAGGTGCTTGTCCAGTGCCAGCTTGAAGATTGCCAGGGGTCTGTTGGTAATCCCCCTTATGTGTGCTGGGAGGCAGTTGAACGTCTGGGGCCCCCGCACTTTTTGTATGGTCTCAAAAGTGCTAGTGACCCCTGCTTTTCATTGGGGGGGAGGGGCATCGTCTGCCAAGTTTTTTGCTTTCTGTGAGTGTTTTTTCGTGTGCAATTTCGGTATAGTCCCTCTAGGATTTTCCAGGTGTATAAAAATCTTGTATCTCTCCCTCCTGCTTTCCCAGGGAATACAGGTTTAGGAGCTAAAGCGCCCCCCGTTTTTTTTTTTTCAATTTAAGTACATCGGGAAAAGGGGGTTTTTAAACTATTCCCTTACTTGTTTAAATTTAAACAGCATGGAAAATAAAAGTAAATGTCATAGCTAACCCAATTCACAAATATTGGGGTTATTGTGAATGGATATGGAGTACAAAATTAAACATAAAAAAAAACTTTTTCGTGTTCTAAAAGATAAAGAATTTGACCATGATTGGCAGGAAGAAAGGGTTTGTCAAGAAACAGGACAGGCGTTTCCTGACGTGGGTCTTGCATTGTGCCTGCCCAGACACACATGCAGCATGGGTATCTTTTTTTGTAGACGTTTTGCCATCCGTGCTTTTTCAATCAAATAGAACTAATACAAAAAATGATGCCAGTTTAAATGTAATTTTCCTGCCCGCGCTTGATTCTTCAAAGAAAAACAGTGGTCATACCAACTCCCAAAGGGTTTAGGGGCTGATTACCCCATTTTTTGTTATGTTCTACAGTCTTCCCTTAGTCCTTTGTTTTCGGCCCCCCCACCAAAAATAGGGTTAAATAGTTAACCCGCGGCCGGCAGTACCATTGGGTATGTCTCAAACCAATGTGGGGATCTGAGCCCGGGCCCTTTGAGCATTAAGTACCTGGGGGCACCCCACGGTACGCATGCAGCAGTAAATTTCCAAACACTTTACAGTATAGATCTATGGGAGTAGAGGTATTCTCCGCCCCTCTTGTGGTATATTCGGGGCCCCTTCTGGCATTAGAGGGGGGCGCTCACCGCAGTCACTGAGTCTGATGGCCTCGTTACTTGACGGCCACACTCAGTGAGCTTGCGCATGGTGTTTGCTGTAATTCATGGACCACCTTGCGGGTGTGTCAATTGGTCTTGAAGGCGGTAGTAGTACTCACCAGCCATCTTACGGTGTACTTCTCCGGCTTGGGAGATTTTTCAGGTACGGTGATGTCTGCGGACTCACCCCCTACGTGGTCAATGTGGGCCCGGGGTCAACTGATGCTGTTTTAGTGGGACTTATATGAAAAAAAGGTTGGAGTGTTCCTGAACTGGCTAGGACCATAGTGGACATTAGGGAAGTATGATGGGTGGAACACTGGATATGCTAAGGACCCTAGTGGAACATGAGAAGAAAAGGGTGTCGTGTGACACTGAAGATGGCCTGGTTGTAGTGTACATTGAATAGTGTCATGTGACTGGTCTCTGATAAGAAAGACGCTGTGGGTGATAGTGTGCGACGCAGAGACAAGGGTGTCAAGAGTGACACAGTAAAAGATTTGTGTATGACGCAGAGAAAAGGGTGTCATGTGACACGGAGAGTAGGAGTGTTGTGTGACACAGAGAAAAGGGTGTCTAGTGGACACGGTTGAGCAGAGCGTCATTACACGGAAGAAAGGGTGTCAAGTGACACAGTTGAGAGGGAGCGTCACAACACACCACGGATAAGTGTCGTGAGAGACACGGAGCATCATAAGGAGTTGATTGTAATTTATTATTGTAAATATGTTACTTATAATTTATTATTTTAGCATAGATATATATTATATATAGTGACACAGTAGTGTCAAGGAAGTTGTACCCTGTGTAGGGTCATGAATTATTTATTATTTTAGTAAAATGTTAATTATAATTTATTATTGTAACATGTATATATATTTTAAATACCTCTAGACCAAAGATTGTGTGTTTTATATAATATTAAAGATTAATTGATTTTAATGTTGTATTTATGTATCCCGAACTCATTATTACAAAATGAGTAAATCTTTTATTTATTTTTTTATTATCACACTGGCCGATTCCCACCAAGGCAGGGTGGCCCGAAAAAGAAAAACTTTCACCATCATTCACTCCATCACTGTCTTGCCATCTTAAAAATTATTTTTTTTGTAATATCCTTGAATTTATATTGATTGATAAAGCCACTGGATGGTGAAACGTCTACAAATAAAGATACTCAGATGTTGCACATGCCTAATCTTTCATTATGTCAGTATTGTATACTATTCATGTTCTACACACAACTGACCCAAATGGGAAGCTGAAGAGCATGGATAAACTGTAGCAGTTGTGGCAAGACCAACTTGCGACGGTAGTGGCTCACCACGCACTCCTCGTTGGCTGCCTTATCTGCACAGTGCACAACCCACATGGAGTATTCTCGCTCCTCTGTTGAGGTATAGTAATAATAATGTAAAAAAATATTACCAACCATTTTTTTAATGCTTGTGACCTGTGACCAGATCTTACATGTGCTTTTTACACCTCACTTGTCAACACCTTGTACCAAACTTGTTCACAAGCAAAACAAATACTACAGTGGTATCTCAGGATATGAACAGCTCAAAACTCGAACAATTATGTAAGTGTATTTATTTAAGTGCTTTTGCAAGTGTATTTTTGGGGGTCTGAAACGGATTAACCTAATTTAAATTATTCCTTATGGGACCAAATTCATTCGGTATCGGCACTCGAACAGCCTTCTGGAATGAAATATATTCGTATTCCAAGGTACCACTGTATATATTTTATAATACTTAAGTAACTTTATTCTTAGATTAAGTTTGCCTGACATGCCGTGCATACTATGAGACTCATAAAATCTGTATCACTTGTACAATAAGGAAAATAAATAACTATAATTACAGTAATAATCAAAAGTGTATCCTTTGAACTTGTGTACTATGTTGCACTGTATGATAAAAATATATTCAAATATGTATAAAAGATGGAGTGGTAGAAATAGAAAAGTCAAACAAGACTCAAGGGAAAATATCAGTATTTTACTCTGAAACCTTTTTCCTTACTTTTCCAAGACTATGGGTCCCACATGTGCATCTAAAGAAATACCCCAATACTTTTTCTTAATGCATCTGCCGTTTCCCACCAAGGTTGGGTGAATCAAAAAAGAGAAAACACTTTCATCATCACTTACTTCATCACTGTCTTGCCAATATTATTATGTATTATTTTTATAACAAATTACCATTTGGATGTGGATTGGCAAGACCGAAGGTGCCAGCAGCATAGGTGGTAATGGCAAAGACGAATTTATCCTGATGAGCATGGGCCACTTCCAAAAACATTCGATGTTCTGAGGAATAAGAGAATACAGTGGTACCTCGGGATACGAACAGCTCAAAACGCAGACAGTTATGTAAGTGTATTTACGTAAGTGCTTTTGTAAGCATATTTTTGGGGCTCTGAAACGGATTAATCTAATTTACATTATTCCTTATGGGAACAAATTTGTTCGGTATCAACACTCGAACAGCCTTCTGGAACTAATTAAGTTCGTATCCTGAGGTACCAGTGTATGTCATAATTGTTCAAAACCAGGCAGCTAAAATTTGATATGGCAAAATGTCTACAAGTAAAGTTACCCAGATGTCGCATGTGTGTCTAATTCTTCATGATAGATCATATGCTGAAATTGAAAATGAAAATACTGTATGAGTTACCATGTAATGCTTAGGAATACTATTGTATGAGTTACTATGTAATGCTGAGGAATACTGTATGAGTTACCATGTAATGCTGAGGAATACTGTGTGAGTTACTGTGTAATGTTGAGGAATACTGTGTGAGTTACTGTGTAATGTTGAGGAATACTGTGTGAGTTACTGTGTAATGTTGAGGAATACTGAGGTACAGTAGATGGGAGTCATCTAGGCCAAAATAATCAAAATTATTATATTTATGGGAAAGCACAGGGAGTATTACCTGGAGTTTAGCTGGAGAGAGTTCCGGGGGTCAACGCCCCCGCGGCCCGGTCTGTGACCAGGCCTCCTGGTGGATCAGAGCCTGATCAACCAGGCTGTTGCTGCTGGCTGCAAGCAAACCAACGTATGAGCCACAGCCCGGCTGGTCAGGAACCGACTTTAGGTGCTTGTCCAGTGCCAGCTTGAAGACTGACAGGGGTCTGTTGGTAATCCCCCTTATGTGTGCTGGGAGGCAGTTGAACAGTCTCAGGCCCCTGACACTTATTGTATGGTCTCTTAACGTGCTAGTGACACCCCTGCTTTTCATTGGGGGGATGTTGCATCGTCTGCCAAGTCTTTTGCTTTCGTAGTGAGTGATTTTCGTGTGCAAGTTCGGTACTAGTCCCTCTAGGATTTTCCAGGTGTATATAATCATGTATCTCTCCCGCCTGCGTTCCAGGGAATACAGGTTTAGGAACCTCAAGCGCTCCCAGTAATTGAGGAGTTTTATCTCCGTTATGCGTGCTGTGAAGGTTCTCTGTACATTTTCTAGGTCAGCAATTTCACCTGCCTTGAAAGGTGCTGTTAGTGTGCAGCAATATTCCAGCCTAGATAGAACAAGTGACCTGAAGAGTGTCATCATGGGCTTGGCCTCCCTAGTTTTGAAGGTTCTCATTATCCATCCTGTCATTTTTCTAGCAGATGCGATTGATACAATGTTATGGTCCTTGAAGGTGAGATCCTCCGACATAATCACTCCCAGGTCTTTGACGTTGGTGTTTCGCTCTATTTTGTGGCCAGAATTTGTTTTGTACTCTGATGAAGATTTAATTTCCTCATGTTTACCATATCTGAGTAACTGAAATTTCTCATCATTGAACTTCATATTGTTTTCTGCAGCCCACTGAAAGATTTGGTTGATGTCCGCCTGGAGCCTTGCAGTGTCTGCAATGGAAGACACTGTCATGCAGATTCGGGTGTCATCTGCAAAGGAAGACACGGTGCTGTGGCTGACATCCTTGTCTATGTCGGATATGAGGATGAGGAACAAGATGGGAGCGAGTACTGTGCCTTGTGGAACAGAGCTTTTCACCGTAGCTGCCACGGACTTTACTCTGTTGACGACTACTCTCTGTGTTCTGTTAGTGAGGAAATTATAGATCCATCGACCGACTTTTCCTGTTATTCCTTTACCACGCATTTTGTGCGCTATTACGCCATGGTCACACTTGTCGAAGGCTTTTGCAAAGTCTGTATATATTACATCTGCATTCTTTTTGTCTTCTAGTGCATTTAGGACCTTGTCGTAGTGATCCAATAGTTGAGACAGACAGGAGCGACCTGTTCTAAACCCATGTTGCCCTGGGTTGTGTAATTGATGGGTTTCTAGATGGGTGGTGATCTTGCTTCTTAGGACCCTTTCAAAGATTTTTATGATATGGGATGTTAGTGCTATTGGTCTGTAGTTCTTTGCTGTTGCTTTACTGCCCCCTTTGTGGAGTGGGGCTATGTCTGTTGTTTTTAGTAACTGTGGGACGACCCCCATGTCCATGCTCCCTCTCCATAGGATGGAAAAGGCTCGTGATAGGGGCTTCTTGCAGTTCTTGATGAACACGGAGTTCCATGAGTCTGGCCCTGGGGCAGAGTGCATGGGCATGTCATTTATCGCCTGTTCGAAGTCATTTGGCATCAGGATAACATCGGGTAGGCTTGTGTTAATCAAATTTTGTGGCTCTCTCATAAAAAATTAATTTTGATCTTCGACTCTCAGTCTGGTTAGCGGCTTGCTAAAAACTGAGTCATATTGAGACTTGAGTAGCTCATTCATTTCCTTGCTGTCATCTGTGTAGGACCCATCTTGTTTAAGTAGGGGCCCAATACTGGACGTTGTTCTCGACTTTGATTTGGCATAGGAGAAGAAATACTTTGGGTTTCTTTTGATTTCATTTATGGCTTTTAGTTCTTCCCGCAATTCCTGACTCCTGGAAGAAGCAATCAAGTTTGAGTCAAGGAAGGGGAGCACAGGTACAATTCCTTGGATCAAGAACTCACTGCCAGCATCAAAGGAGCTCCCTTGAGTGTTAAATGATTAAAGTCTGACTTTTTAATCCTAATATGTACTGTAATAACTTTTGTAATTCCTGTTTCTAATATGATCCATATGAAGTACAGTATTTTTTTAACACACCAGTCGTCTCCCGCCAAGGCAGGATGATCTGATAAAGAAACACTTTCACCATCACTCACTCCATCACTGTCTTGCCAGAGGTGGCCGATACTACAGTATAATATTTCCTTTCGAAGAAAGTGTGTGACAGACCTTGTACATATGTATACAACACAGTATTGTATGTACATATGTATACAACACAGTATTGTACTAAAGAAATCACTGAAAATGAAAATATTACAGATATTTACAACCTACCAAAGGTGCCCAGGGTATGCAGGAAGGAGAAGATAATGTCACAACGACCACGACATCGAGCCTCCAGGTCCCTTCTCTCCCCTGCTGTTTGCAGGATAGGCACAGCACTGATCAAGGCCAAGCTGAGGGAGGATTCTTTTTATAGAAAGAAAAGTTGTGTTTGGAAATGAGGCATGCTAAAATGTGGGGTAATCTCTATGTCATTATGTATTAATACACTATTCAATTTTCTTGTGTTCATTGTAATTTCTAAATTTATTATTACAACTGCTTAAGAGACTGTATATATGAGAAATCAATTATTCAAATTCAAATTTTTACTTCTTTGCAAAGTTCACAATGTGTGACTGGCATGTTATAAGGAGTCTATTTCCATGCATAGTTTACAATGTAATTACAATATTGATTTGCAAGTGCAAAGAAAGCCTTATTAATCTTAAGACAGTCTTAAATTTGCTCGAAATGCTCTGCATACTAAGGGGCTGTCTGCATGTACACTTAAATGTCACTCACCTCAAAATTCAAATGCAAATTCTTATTCCTTTGCATTGTATACAAAGTGTGATTTACATTATTATTATTATTATCACACTGGCCGATTCCCACCAAGGTAGGGTGGCCCGAAAAAGAAAAACTTTCACCATCATTCACTCCATCACTGTCTTGCCAGAAGGGTGCTTTACACTACAGTTTTTAAACTGCAACATTAACACCCCTCCTTCAGAGTGCAGGCACTGTCATAAAATATTGTCAGGCACAAAGGAAGGCATTAACATGTCTGAGCATGTCAGGCAGACTAATCCTCTGTACAAACACTGTATCATGCTGAAATGAACCTGTAATTCAATAGCAAAATTAAATAATGGAAACTTGGTAAAAACTCCTGGGGTTATTACTATTCCCATTACTCAAAAATGTGGCCACTATTTTACATTTTCTTTCTGTGTATGACCTAATTCATGCCTGCATAAATAACTCATTACAACTGTAGCCAAATCATGTGCCTCTCTAATCTTTTGACTACTGCCCACAGGATGCGATGGGGTGCCTAGTAAATATATTAAAATATTAGTGCTGCACTGTACCTCCTGTCAATAATTAAAATGATTAATAAGTAATATTAAAAATAATAAAAAATAACAATACAGTGGTTGGAACAAATCACAATTAAGCCTCCCCAGGAGGAAGCTTATGATTGGTCAATGGTTCATTTTGGACCATGATCCATTTGGACCAATGGTCCATTTTGGACCAGTTTGACCATTTTGGACCACTGTCCCATCAAAACTATGACTTGATATGGTCCAGGACAAACTGAAATGTCATCATAATCTTCCTCTCCTGAGTGAAGGTTACTTGTAACAACATAAATATTAAAGATTCACTATTTCAGCATGATATAATGTTTATACAGAGATGAGTGAGATTTAGGTGTGCATGCAGAAACCCAATACCATTATTTCCATGCAGAAACCCCCTTAGTGCACAGACAGTGATGCAAGGGAAGAATTAAACATGTGCAACATTTGGGTATCTTGCATACTTTTTTTTGTAATAAATCATTTTTACAGGCTAAAAGCTGTTATTTTTACCTCAGTTCATTTTAAAGCCCCAGCACTATCTAAGGTATACTACCACCTCCAGGATGCGACCCACAATAGTCGACTAACACCCAGGTACCAACTTATTGCTAGGTGAACAGGGACAGCAGGTGTAAGGTGGCTAACACCCAGGTACCTACTTACTGCTAGGTGAACAGGGACAGCAGGTGTAAGGTGGCTAACACCCAGGTACCTACTTATTGCTAGGTGAACAGGGACAGCAGGTGTAAGGTGGCTAACACCCAGGTACCTACTTATTGCTAGGTGAACAGGGACAGCAGTATAAGAAAACATGCCCAACATTTCCACCCTTACCAGGGACTGAACCACAGACACTCAGTATGGGAGCTGAGTGCACTCTCAACCAACTTAACCAATACTGTCATCAGATTATGTCCGTATATTCTATTGATAAAGCCACCGGATGGTGTAAGTAAGTTTGTAAGTAAAGTTTATTCAGGTATACACAAATACAGTTACATAGATTATCATACATAGCAGCATACGTGTAGAGAACCTAGGATAACCCAAAAAAGTCAGACAAAGTGACTTATTTCCATTATGGCCCTTGAGAAACAACAGTGGACCCCCGCATAACGATCACCTCCGAATGCGACCAATTATGTAAGTGTATTTATGTAAGTGCGTTTGTACGTGTATGTTTGGGGGTCTGAAATGGACTAATCTACTTCACAATATTCCTTATGGGAACAAATTCGGTCAGTACTGGCACCTGAACATACTTCTGGAGAGAAAAAATATCATTAACCGGGGGTCCACTGTACAAGACACCCAGCTGTTTCACACTTGTCGAATCCTTCCTCCTGATGAGAGTATACCTAGAGTATACCTGGAGAGGGTTTCAGGGGTCAATGCCCCGTGGTCTGGTCTGCGACCAGGTGATACCTACTGGAGGGCAGAGGCCACAATGGCATTATTGTTGAAGAGAGTGTCCAGTGGGAAGGCAATCTTCTCCAGGCCATTCCTAAAGCCATATGCAAACCGGTTTACTTTTTCTGGCATACAATAAGCAGCTACATTGTACTTGGCACAGTCCACCTATGGAAGAGTTCAAACTATTAATATGAGCCCATAATACCAAGTGAATTATATATCATGTTAGCCATTAATCTGTGTACTACTTGGTATAGAAAATTGTACTAAGATTAGACAGAAAAGGTTACTTAAAAACTTACAAAGAACATAGAAGTTTAGCATAAATGAACAAAGTTAATTACTAGGTTGGGCAAGATTCACCAGGAAACAGGACAAGAATTTCCTAATGTGGGTTTTTGTTATATGATGACCTTTCGCTTTCTTAGGGACTGATTTTCGTGTGAAAGTTTGGTACTACAGTAATCCCTTTAGGATTTTCTAAGTGTATATCATCATGTACGTATCTCTCTTGCCTGAATTTCAGGGAATACAAATCAAGCCACTTCAACCTTTCCCAGTAATTTAGGTGCTTTATCGTACTTAAGTGTGCCGTGAAAGTTCTCTGTACATTCTCCAGGTCAGCAATTATGCCTGCCTGCCTTTTTTTTTTTTTTTTTTTGGTTACAAATTACAGTATCCTTTAAGTGGTAGAAACAGGTTGGTAGAGGAAATAGCTGGGTGAAGGAAACAGCTGGGTGGAGGAAACAGCTGGGTGGAGGAAATAGCTGGGTGAAGGAAACAGCTGGGTGGAGGAAACAGCTGGGTGGAGGAAACAGCTGGTGAAGGAAACAGCTGGGTGGAGGAAACAGCTGGGTGGAGGAAATAGCTGGGTGAAGGAAACAGCTGGGTGGAGGAAACAGCTGGGTGGAGGAAACAGCTGGGTGCAGGAAACAGCTGGGTGGAGGAAACAGCTGGGTGGAGGAAATAGCTGGGTGGAGGAAACAGCTGGGTGGAGGAAATAGCTGGGTGGAGGAAATAGCTGGGTGAAGGAAACAGCTGGGTGGAGGAAATAGCTGGGTGAAGGAAACAGCTGGGTGAAGGAAACAGCTGGGTGAAGGAAACAGCTGGGTGGAGGAAACAGCTGGGTGGAGGAAACAGCTGGGTGGAGGAAATAGCTGGGTGAAGGAAACAGCTGGGTGGAGGAAACAGCTGGGTGGAGGAAACAGCTGGGTGGAGGAAATAGCTGGGTGAAGGAAACAGCTGGGTGGAGGAAACAGCTGGGTGGAGGAAACAGCTGGGTGGAGGAAATAGCTGGGTGGAGGAAACATATGGGTGGAGGAAATAGCTGAGTGGAGGAAACAGCTGGGTGGAGGAAATAGCTGAGTGGAGCAAATAGCTGGGTGGAGGAAATTGCTGGGTGGGGGAAATAGCTGGGTGGAGGAAATAGCTGGGTGGAGGAAATAGCTGGGTGGAGGTAACAGCTGGGTGGAGGAAATAGCTGGGTGGAGGAAATAGCTGGGTGGAGGAAATAGCTGGGTGGAGGAAACAGCTGGGTGGAGGAAACAGCTGGGTGGAGGAAACAGCTGGGTGGAGGAAACAGCTGGGTGGAGGAAATAGCTGGGTGGAGGAAATAGCTGGGTGGAGGAAATAGCTGGGTGAAGGAAATAGCTGAGTGGAGGAAATAGCTGGGTGGAGGAAATAGCTGGGTGGAGGAAATAGCTGGGTGGAGGAAATAGCTGGGTGGAGGAAACAGCTGGGTGGAGGAAACAGCTGGGTGGAGGAAACAGCTGGGTGGAGGAAACAGCTGGGTGGAGGAAATACATATATGGGGTAGAAGAAACAGATGGATAGAAGAGAAATGACTTGAGTAAAGGAAATAGCTGGGTGGATATAAGTGGGGGAGGAAACATAGAAGACATTAAGAGTGATACTGACCACAGCCAACAGCACTTGGTACTGCAACAGGTCCTCTGCTGACTTGTTGAACTCTGATAAAAACTTTGCCAGTGCCTCTGATCCACCTGCTAACAAAAAATTTCAATAAGCAGACTGAAAAAAAATTAATTTTTTTTTTTAGCACATCGGCCGTTTCCCACCAAGGTTGGGTGACCCAAAAAAAGAATCATTTTCATCATCACTCACTCCATCACTATCCTGCCAGGGGAGTGCTGATATTACAGTTCAAAACTGCAACACATTTCCACCCCAGTATATTACAGTAATGCAAATTTTCAATTTAGTACAGTCCAACCTACAAGATTAAAACACGACACTGTGTTGTATAGGATTTTAAACCTGATTGATTATTATTATTTTAAGCATTTAGGTTACTAATAATGTATATTACTCTTACCATATTTATAGAAGTACACTATTACAACAGGCCCCTTTTCAATGAAATCTTCGAATTCTCCTTCTTGATGTAGAGTCCTGAGGGAATCTTTTCTCTCTTTTGCTTCCCTAGTAGTCCCATCCTTATCTTTCAGTGTAATATCACCAGCATCCTCTGCAGCATTCTCATCTTGTATCAGCAATGGCTGGTTATTACTGTAGATTTCATTTGTGTTTTTCGTAGAATCCGTTCCATATTTATCGTTCAATGGCCATTCCTCTTGTACGTCATGTAAGACTTGCTTGCCAGCCATGGTGAGTCCTTCATGGGCAGTAGTAACCCCAGGATGCTGAGATGCTTCAATTGTATCACAATCTCTATCTGGCTGCTTACCATAATTCTTCTCGCTGCTGCAGCTGTCGGAATGGATATTACTCATGGTGATGCTTTCAGAGAAGTGGCTGTCAGGATGGGTATTTCTCGTGCTGCCATCAGAGAAGTGGCTGTCAGGATGGGTATTTCTCGTGCTGCCATCAGAGAAGTGGCTGTCAGGATGGATATCACTCATGCTGCCATCAGAGAAGTGGCTGTCAGGATGGGTATTTCTCGTGCTGCCATCAGAGAAGTGGCTGTCAGGATGGATATCACTCATGCTGCCATCAGTGAAGTGGCTGTCAGGATGGATATCACTCATGCTGCCATCAGTGAAGTGGCTGTCAGGATGGATATCACTCATGCTGCCATCAGTGAAGTGGCTGTCAGGATGGATATCACTCATGCTGCCATCAGTGAAGTGGCTGTCAGGATGGATATCACTCATGCTGCCATCAGTGAAGTGGCTGTCAGGATGGATATCACTCATGCTGCCATCAGTGAAGTGGCTGTCAGGATGGATATCACTCATGCTGCCATCAGTGAAGTAGGAATGTTTGTGATAAAGGGGACCATGACTTTGTTGAGTAAGAGTACTATCATCATCAAGTATGGCAGGGCTGGAGTCCACATATTCTGCTGATGACAGGTCTAATACACTCAGAACTGATAGCCACAGTAGCAGCATATCTGCAACTGAGAGAAGATAAATGAAAAAAATATAGTAAATACTGATATACTGTCTACAAGACACTGGATGATGTGTATCTTATGGGTTTTCTGAATATTCTATATTTTTGCAAATGCAGTGATCTGAAATAAAATCTGTATGTGAATCTTAATTTAATCCTGGTTATGTACATGGAAATAGGTCACTTAGACATTTTGGGGATTATCCTAGGTAATTTGCATATACCTGGAAGAGTTCCGGGGGTCAACACCCCCGCGGCCCGGTCTGTGACCAGACCTCATGGTGAATCAGGGTCTGATCAACCAGGCTGTTACTGCTGGCTGCACGCAATCCAACGTACGATAATTGTACGATAACTGTTGATAATTGTACTTACATGCTGGACCATATGCGGCCAGCAGTAACAGCCTGACTGATCAGGCCCTGATCCACTGGGATACCTGGTCGTGGACTGGGCCGTGGGGGCGTTGATCCCCGGAATACCCTCCAGGTAGGTGTGCAGAGCTCTGGGAGAGGACTGTTGGAGACACTGGAGACACTTGGAGCAGTGTTCGTGCTGTGGTCTTGGGATCTGTGGCTAGTTTGAGTTCCTGAGATGAATTGTCCCTCTGAACCTATTAAGTAAATATTCTGCTTCTTCAATTAAATTGTAGCCCTTGTCTCCTTCTTCTTCTTCTTGATTTGCCGGTACTCTCCCGGCCCGGGCCTTTTCCAAGTGGTGGCCCGGCCTTGGCTCCCTCTCTAGGGAGTGTCTGAGACCTAAGTCTCCCATGGGAGGAGGCACAAGTACCTCCTCATCTTTGGGACCAACTGTCCCCAGGCCTAGCCACAAGCTAGGCCTCTCTGGTCTGCCATCCCCGCCACAAGGGGGCTAATGGGAATGACAGTCTTATGAGCTAAAGGCTCGGACTCAGGCACCTACCCTACCCTAGAAGGGTTAGGCATGGTGTCGATCCTTGTCTCACTGTTTATGTACAGTCCCCATTTATCTAACCCAATAGTGTTCTCCCGTTCCCAAAGATATTATACAAGGACTTATTAATAAACTGTGTTTGAGTGGAAAAGTAATATTCACTGTCCCCATTATTTATTCTTTATTTATTATTTATTTCAAGTACTGAGAGGGTGAGTAGTGTAGAGTTAACGAGGTGATGTAGTTACCAGTGGCTTCACAATACCTCTCCCCTCAAGGAAGGTTCCTTGATGTTGGTGAGGGGCTCTTGATTTAGGGATTGGATCTGTGCTCCAGTTCCCCGAACTAAGCCTGAATGCCTTCCACATCCCCCCCCCAGGCGCTGCATAATCCTACGGGTTTAGCGCTTCCCCTTGATAATAATAATAATAATATCTGCTCCCCACTCGAGTCACCCATACACTGGGGATTTATTCAGGGATTAGCACTTGTGTTCCTTTTACATAGATTTTCTGATGCTGACAGTATTTCCCAAGCTGTAACCTACAAGGTCTATTTTCCTTGTTACTCACAGAGAATTTGCGACATGTTCACGCTCCTCGTCTGAATCATCCTACTTTGTCCTCTGCCCAATGCGCCCTACAAGCTCCTCCTAACAAAAAATCATGAGTTAAGATTCGTTCGGATTTTTTAACCCGGGGGTTAGCCAGGATAACCCAAGAAAGTCAGTGCGTCATCGAGTGACTGTTTAACTTATTTCCATTGGTCCTTAATCTTGTCCCCCAGGATGCGACACACCAGTCACTAAAACAGAGTACCTATTTGTGCTATGAACACGGACAATAGGTGTAAGGTAAGTTTGGAATTTCCACCGCCGGACATTCAACCGGCTCGTGTTTGAAGCGGAGCTATAGCACAATCACGGTGGTTGGAAACTTTAAACAAATGCAGTTAGATTGTCCTTTTTGAAAAAGTTTCGCCCACACGTGGTTTTTCAGTGCGGACCTGAAAGGCGCGAAACTGTTGTCAATAACGGATCACATTAAACTGCATAGTGAGGAGTGATCCATGTGTCGAGTTTTTATTCCATTTATTTTCAAGAAGGTAGGTTTCTTGTTATCTAGCTATAGACTAGAATTCATAATAGTCGCAACTTGTAGATAAAGTGGGGTGCAGGTTTTCCCTTAATTTTCCCAAGGAGAAAAAGAGTAATTACTATCTGGAGTTTTGAGACTGATTGCGGGTTCAAACCCCACCCGTGGTATGGTTTGTTAGTAATTACTGTGTAGTCGATCAAGAACTCGAGTGAGGAGGGGAGTGTGCCTCGTGACGCTATGTACAAACATGTGGGTTTAATGAATTATTATAATCAAGAGGGAAGCGCTGAACCCGTAGGATTATACAGTGCCTGAGGGGGGATGTGGAAGGTATTCAAGTTTAATTCAGGGAAGTCTAGAACAGATCCAATTCCCTAGATCAAGAGCCCATCACCAGCATCAAGGAACCGTCCTTAAGGGGATGTGGGTTTACCTGGAGGTTATTCCGGGGATCAATGCCCCCATGGCCAGGCCTCCCGGTGGATCAGAGCCTGATCAACCAGGCTGTTACTGCTGGCCGCACACAGTCCAACGTACGAGCCACAGCCCGGCTGATCCGGCACTGACTTTAGGTATCTGTCCAGCTCTCTCTTGAAGGCAGCCAGGGGCTTATTGGTGATTCCCCTAATGCTTGATGGGAGGCTGTTGAACAGTCTTGGGCCCCGGACACTTATGGTGTTTTCCCTTAGTGTACCAATAGCGCCCCTACTTTTAATTGGGGGCATTTTGCATCGCCTGCCCAGTCTTAATGAAGCTGTTTGCTAGGAAGGAAGAGTCCACTAGCCCCTTCCGGGAGGGCTAAATCCCTCAAAAGGGCTGAGATATCCCCCTTTATCGGAGAATTTTCTCATCTCCCCTGGGTTATCCTGTCTGGTTAACCCTCCCCCGGGGCTGACAGCATGAAATCTTTATTGTGGAAACTTCTCGCCAGTGGCTTCATCAGTCCAATACAAAGCAGAATATTGAAGATCAGGAGTTCGAGGAAATTGTATAATCAGTCCTTCAACCTGGAGTCGATATAATCTGTCCATCAGTCTTGATTGATTACCTCAGACGCCTAATATTCAGTTTTTCTTTGTATTGGACTAATGAAGCCACTGTATAACGAAACGTTTCATCAATAAAGCCAAATATTACACGTTTCTAATTTATCAATATGTTACTAGACCACCTGGAGGAGGCGCCCAAATGCTGGTTAGGGGGGACTGAGGCAAAATACCGAACCTGTTCTCTCCTTATTTTGATCCAGTCTCACATACCCCGATAAAATGAATGACTTCTGTGGGTTTAGCACTCTGCCCCACGTACATCTAGAAGTGAAAAAAAGAAATCAGCGTGCAGAGAGACGTTTTAACATACCTGTTGCTGTGGCCGCCCAGATTACACTGAAGGGCGACAACATTGATCGTATATCATCAGTTCTTTCTGGAGAAGAACCTCGATGCTTGAAGGGGCGCCTGAGTCTCTCCCTCACCTAATATTATCTATTAATATTGTTGTTAGGTAAGACACATATGCAACAGTTAGGTATCTTTATTTCGAAACGTTTCGCCTACACAGTAGGCTTCTACAGTCGAGTACAGATATGCAACCTAACTGTTGCATATGTGTCTTACCTAACAACGAGTACAGAAAAGTTGATAGAAGCAGAAGACTTGAAGACGATGTAATTAGTCCATCACCCTTGAAGTTTTGAGGTGGTCAGTCCCTCAAAACTTCAAGGGTGATGGACTGATTACATTGTCTTCAAGTCTCTTCTGCTTCTATCAACTTTTCTGTACTCGACTGAAGAAGCCTACTGTGTAGGCGAAACGTTTCGAAATAAAAGATACCTAACTGTTGCATATGTGTCTTACCTAACAACCTGTTGGTATTTTATACCATTTTAATGTTCACTATTAATATTCGTAGAATTTCCTGCGATGTGTTATGTAAAAGGACACAAATGTTAATGTGGTATTTTATGGTGGCAACGTTTCGTTCTCCAGGAGCTTTATCAAGCCGTTACGGCTTATTATAATCACGGGGAGCGCTAAATCCGAAGGATTATACAGCCCATGTGGGTGGGGGATGGAAGGTATTTAGGCTCAATTCAGGGAACTGGAGCACAGATCCAATTCCCTAGATCAAGAGCCCCTCACCAGCATCAAGGAACCTCCCCTGAGGGGTCACGGCTGGAGAGCGAAACGTTGCCACAATAAAATATCACATTAGTTGTTTGTAGATGAATGGTTCAGAGAACCGACATGTTGATAAATTAGACACATGTGCAACTCTTGGGTATCTTTATTGAGGAAACGTTTCGCCACACAGTGGCTTCATCAGTCCATACAAAGGAGAATCTTGAAGAACAGGAGGAGAATGAGGTAATCAGTCCCTCAACCTTGAGTCGATGTGGTCAGTCCATCAATCAAGATCTATTCAAGATTGATGGACTGACCACATCGACTCAAGGTTGAGGGACTGATTACCTCATTCTCCTCCTGTTCTTCAAGATTCTCCTTTGTATGGACTGATGAAGCCACTGTGTGGCGAAACGTTTCCTCAATAAAGATACCCAAGAGTTGCACATGTGTCTAATTTATCATCACATTAGTTGCATATCATGCTCATTTCTCCCATGTAATCTACCTTATCCATAATTATCACCACATTTACTGTGTCTGTTTCGTAAGGTGAAGTCCAGAATCTTTCTTTAATTCTTGGGATAACTTAACAAATCTCTGATGACAACTGTGTTGCAGAGAAATAAGTCACTTTTTTGGGTTATCCAAAGTTCTCGACACATATGCTGCTGTGTATGATAATCTAACTGTATTTGTGTATACCTGAATAAACTTAATAATGCTCAGACCTCTGCAAGACAATTGTCCTCAAAGATTTAAGTTCTACTCGAAATACCTCGCCATAATAGCGACTTTCTTTGCTCCAATTAAATTATATGTAAACACACATTGTAACCTTAGCAAAGAAATCAATATTTATTTATAATTAT